GAGTAGATAAATAGGTACTGCTGTGGTGGGAAGGTAAATGGCATTTTCATGCTCTCTGGTTTCTGTCACGGTGTCCTGTTGCGCCAGAAGTGGTTTAGTCATGCTGGCCACATGACCCAGAAAGCTGCCTGTGGACAAACGCCGGCTCCCTTGGCCTGAAAGCGAGATGAATGCCCCAACCCCATAGTCACCTTTCACTGGACTTAACCATCCAGGCGTCCTTTACCTTTACCTATGGGAAGAAAAACCTTGTTCCTGCTGTTAAAGTGGCTGAATAGTTAGAGACTCTACTATGCATGTCAAAGGTACAATCTTTAAAAAACTGACCCATTGGCCATGCTGTCTGGGTCTGATGGGAGTTGGGAGTCCTACAAAATCTTAAAACGGCCCAGTTTCATCATCCCTAGAGTATAGATTGAGGCATGCTAATCAGCTCCCAGTATGTTTCGGAGCACAATTCAGTGTGTTGGTGCTGACCTTTAAAGCCCTAAATGGCCTTGGCTCAGTATACCTGAAGGAGCATCTTTACCCCCATCGTCCAGCCTCGACACTGAGGTCCAGCTCCGAGGGCCTTCTGGCAGTTCCCTCACTGCAAGAAGCAAAGCTACAGGGAACCAGGCAGAGGGCCTTCTCGGTAGTGGCGCCTGTCCTGTGGAACGCCCTCCCATCAGATGTCAAAGAGATAAGCAACTACCTGACATTTAGAAAACATCTGAAGGCAGGGAAGTTTTTAATGTGTGACATTTAGATGTATTTTTAATCTTTGTTGGAAGCCGCCCAGAGTGGCTGGAGAAACCCAGCCATATGGGCAGGGTACAAATAAATTGTTTATTATTATTATTATTATTATTATTATTATTATTATCATCATCATCATCTCTGTATCGCTCCCGTTTTAGCTTACCGTATTTTTCTGTGTATTGGATGAGTTTTTTTGACTAGAAAATCATGTTAAAAAACTGGGGTCGTCCAATACATGGATAGTGGCATGGGGGGGGGGGGGAGACGTTGCTGAGCACAGGAAGCAATCTGCGGGGTGCTGGCTAGTGGCACATAGCTTCCCCGGATGCTGCTGCGCATGGGAAGCACTCTCTGGATCGTTTCCCGCATGGGGGAAGGTGCCCTCTGGCCAAATGGCTGGCTGGCTGGAGCACAACTTCCCTCGATGCTGCTGCGCAAGGGAAACACTCCCTACCTGCGCACGGGAAATAATCTAGGGAGTGTTTCCTGCCCGCAGCTGCATGGGGGGAGAGGCTCAACAACTTTGGGCCATCTCCCCTCATTTTCTTGAAATTGAGTCCCCCCAAATAGGGGGGGGTCTTATACATGGGGGCATCTAATAGACAGAAAAGTAAGGTATATGCTGCCTAAATATTTTTTTTCTGTTTGGGGTGGGTGGGGTGGCAAAGCAGGAAGCCACATTCTGCTGCACTTACAGAATCCAGAGAAGTATGAGCATGCAAAACATCCAAGGTGGTTTACAATCCAAAAGAGAATCCAAAAGAAATATATTAGTTTCTCTTGCCTTTTGACCCAGAATCTCAAAATAGCAATTTACAACTACCAGAATGTAAAATGTGGCACGCTGCAAAATGAGTCTTACAAACCCTAACCTTAACCCCTATGATTGTAAGAGGTTCTTTATTTCCCCATTTCTCAATGCCTTCTTTATTTTTATTTTTTATTTTATAAATAATTTTTATTTGGTTTCATTCATTCACACTCATATTCATCCGTAATAAAAAATTTTACACAAGATTCTTCTGAATCTCCAGACTTTCCTCCTCCCCTCCATGGGTTCTTTGAATAACTTTTAAACTTTTAAACCATCCAATTTACAGTCCTCCATTGTGTCCAAAATCTATGTATCATTGCAAGAGCTATTTAAAACCTGCTAAAGAGTTCAAGTGTTTACAGTGGTCTTTCAACTATAATATAAATTTGTCCCATTCTTTGTTGAAGTTTTGATCCTCTTGGTTTTCCCGGTTAATCATGCCATCTCTGCATAGTCCAATATTTTCGTCTGTCAATCCACCCTGGTAGGTATTATTTCTCTTCTTTTTGGTGTGATGTCCAAGGCAATGTAACAATGGATTTTAACAGTGTAGCACCACTTTCAATCAATGAGAGCAATAAGAGGATGTTGTACCAATTGATTTACATTGAGTGACGGGCTTCCTCTCTAGCATGGGGAAGCTGTAAGCCTCTGACTTCATGTGAAACACCGAGATGGGGAAGGAAGTAGAGGAGTCTACTAAATCTAGCTCTAATGACCAATCTGATTTATTAACGCGGATTTCTGGCTTACTTTTATTGTACATGCTTTGAATGGATCAGTGTCTAGAAGAAACTGGTCATTTTATATATATATATAACACAGCTTTGGTCCGATCGTCATACATAGGCGCTTCCAGACATTTCCTTTTATTGGAGCCCTGAAATTGTTAAGTACACAAATGCTTGGGGTTAACCCTAAATATTTCCTTTGCCAGAGTAGCATTTACGGCTCCTGTACGTTTTGTGAATCATCACAGGATGCAAAGCTGGGTTTTGCAGTAGCAGCTTCAGAGACCGGCAAACGCCAACACCCCACAGCCCCTTTTGAAGTAATAAAGACCAGATGGGGTGACAAAAAGACAAGACGAAGACAGCCCTCCATTCTTTGCCGCGACCGGGATCACATTTCTAAAGTGCAGAGGAAGTCAAAGCTGTTCCCGCACACCAGCACTCTGAACTCAGTATTCTTGTTGTGTTTTATAGTTCCCAACCTCCAAATAAGCTTCAACTGAGAAGGATCAACTTTACTGTTCGAAATCACATTGTTGTTTTCTAAATGTTGCCCTTGATTTAATTTTCAGGCATTGAGGTGGCAAGGAAAAGGAAGCAACTGTACACCAACAGGCAAACTCATTTACTTGTGTAAGGACTGTTCTGGCACCAGCCAGTTTCAATAAAACATCACTCTCTCATTTATTCTCTCATTTATTCTCTCGTCTAGCTGCTGCTACAAAACTATTAAGGACCAGTATGACAAACCTAGACAGCATCTTAAAAAGCAGAGACACCACCTTGCCGACAAAGGTCCGTATAAAGCTATGGTTTTCCCAGTAGTGATGTATGGAAGTGAGAGACGGACCATAAAGAAGGCTGATCGCCGAAGAATTGATGCTTTTGAATTATGGTGCTGGAGGAGACTCTTGAGAGTCCCGTGAACTGCCAGAAAATCAAACCTATCCATTCTGAAGGAAATCAGCCCCGAGTGCTCACTGGAAGGACAGATCCTGAAGCTGAGGCGCCAATACTTTGGCCACCTCATGAGAAGACTCCCTGGAAAAGACCCTGATGTTGGGAAAGATTGAGGGGATGACAGAGGACGAGATGGTTGAACAGTGTTCTCGAAGCTATCAACATGAGTTTGACCAAACTGCGGGAGGCAGTGGAAGACAGGAGTGCCTGGCGTGCTCTGGTCCATGGGGTCACAAAGAGTCGGACACGACTAAACGACTAAACAACAACAACATATCTGTGGACAGATTGACCTAGGGATATCTTACCATGATGATTTCTTTGAAAATACTTCTAGTCAGGAGCAGGGTGCGAGTGTATCTTTCGCTCTCTTCTCTTAACATCATTTGTGAGAAGGCAACTATGGGTCAGCACACATCCTTAACATTGTTTTTAACAAGCGCGCACACACACAACTTTTCGAGTTCATACACAACACAAACAGTAGACCCTATAATTTTCTCCATCAAAGACCCCAAGGTAAAATATTTTTCATAGGAGAGCAATGTCAAAAAGAAATCTAATTGGGATTTTCACATTGTTTTCAGAGAAACCCTCAGCATCCTATGAGGGGTTTGCCACTGAGAATATAGTAATCTAAGCTTCCCTTCAACATAGCCAGTCTGTTCAGTATTGATTTTTTCCTGTGTACCCGCAGGAAGTTTGGGGTACACACTCCCACCAAGAATGTACAGCATGCTCTAGGACAGGGGTACCCCAAATGTTGCTGAACTCACACCAGCCCCAGACAGCATGGCCAGCGGCCAGAGATTATGGGAGTTATAGTTTGGCAAACATATTTAGAACCAACCACAGCTTCTTCTGTTCTTCATCTGACAAAGACACTTTAGCATTGTCACGGACATTAAGAATCTAGTATACTTTTGAAATATCAATTTGCCAAGTTAGGTAATGTAATCCCACATTACAAACCTAGAGGCGCAATCAGATGTGGGGACTATTGTGTTAGTTTTCCTGGCTATAAGGCTATCGTTTCTGTCTTGTTTTCTAATGTACACTGCGTGTTGTGATATGGAACCGGTGCTTTTTGACTGATATACTGGCACCCCTCTCTGCTTCCTTCTGCTAAAGTTGTACACTATTTTGCTCATTTTGTTCAGTAAACATTTACCAAGAAAAAACAACAACTTTTTTTAGCACAAATCAAAAATGGTAACATACCTTGAATACAAGATCAGGGCTGACTTTCTCTTCCACTTGTGCTTCATGCAGTCTGCACTTTGACATTTGGTTTAAAGCAGCACCTATGAGTTTGTCTATATTCTCACACACATATCCTTTCTTTATCAACCCCACCTCCACTCCCACAAAATCATGAAAATTGTAATCAGTTGCAAAACTGGGATGAGGGATATTGCTGATATTGTTTAGGGATGCTTTTAATGTTTAATAGACAACTGTATTTTAATATTTTGTTGGAAGCCGCCCAGAGTGGCTGGGGAAACCCAGCCAGATGGGAGGGGTATTATTAATAATAATTATTATTATTATTATTACAGGAACTAGCCAATAGGTGCCACAGACAGCTGCCATTTGGCCACAATAGACACTTGTACAACTCGGTCTCTTACTGCAGGATATTAATATATCCTGCATCCAGGAAAAGAAAGGCACTTTCAGACTGCCTCACCATCAGGAAAGCAGAACGCTTTACATTAAAAAAATCACAACACAAAAAGTGATAGGACTGTTTTCATCTAGTATTTATCTGGAAATCCATACCATTATTTTTATTTCTGCCATTTATACACTTTCCACCTGACCATGTCCTCTGGTTGCTTCAGATATCTTTTAAAAAAACAACCCCAATTAATAAACCACATTAATACAATAAAAAATCAATACTAAAACACAGAGCAGCATAAAACCAAAGGCATGAAAACAATGGTGGAAAAGCAGGACACCCTGTCTTAAATGAGAAGTCCCAACCCTTTCCTGATCTCATTTGAAAGAGAACTTGGGAGTCTACAGTCCTGAAAATATTTTCAGTTTACAATTAGCATAACTGTCGGCAGCTGATAAAGTTACACTGGACTACACCACGCTTGGCCACAATCCTGAAACCGCATTTTGAAGAAAACCAGAAATTCATCAACGTAGCAAATTAAGTGGCTTGGGTACAGAAGGCAGCACAGGCTGAAGCATGATGGAAAAATTTATACCTTAAAGTACTGAAAGAGAAGCCTGATACCCACCATGGAGCACTTTAAGCCGATTTAGCCCTATTGAGTTCCGGGACTGTAGCTCAAATCCAATTACTTCCCCCCTTAATGAGATTGTAGCTGATAGAGAAGATGGTGCAGTCGGAATATGAAGAAAGAAGGAGAAAAACAGGATCAAATATATGCTTTTATTTTTTAAAAAAATTATGTGTCAAATAGAGCGCTGGAATATGTAGCAGCAACCAAAAAAGGCACAGGAGTGTAGAACAACCCAGACGTAACAGAAAGTCTTTAAAATATAGTATTCACCAGAAATCTGGAACACTTATCATGGCAAATTCATTGAAGGGCGAAAGAGGTCCTCCTGACTCTAGGTGGCATACTGAAACTTCTACGGTATCAATGACAAGTCCCTTTTCTGCACATCTTTAGCAGAGACCTGAGTGGTGGTCTCAAGCAAGTAATTGAGAGAAAGAGAGAGAAAGAGAAAGAGAGAGAAAAAATGGAACTTCCTGATTACAGTAGGGATATGTGCCCATGCAACTAAATGTTAAGTATTTCTAATTTATTCATGGTTTTTAAAGGTATTCATGAGTAAACATGGACAATAAACATCATGAGTGAATTAGTTTCCCCATTAATTTATGCACCCACCAGATTATGATAAGAGATTGATATTTGTTTTGTTTGCTTGGCTTAAGAAATTCTACCAGCATTTCATCTGTGTGTGCATACAGATTGTACTGTACAATGCTGAACTCAATCCAATGGAGACTGAGACTGAAATTTAACTGAGAGCTCCACTGTGTGCACAGCACTGGCGATCACTGGTATAAAAGTTGAATGCGTGGTAAAATCACAGGAAAGGTCAACTTGTATAGAATAAAGGAATTGGCATGAGATAAGACATTTAATGGAAACCGGACAAATAGCTAGAAAAACAGCTCCTTCTGGGAATTTCAAAAATCAAAAGATCTTTAAAAAAAAGTGTACAAAATTCCCACATACCCAGTGTAATAAAAGCTACTTAAGTACATTATTCAAAAGCATAATTCCATAATACCGTTTAACTATCTGGTCTGACAGTAATAGGAACCTGTTCGGGGGAATGTTATTTAAAATAAGAGAGGTTAAATGAAGAATATTGTGTAAGTTTTTTCACTCTTTTCATGTTCATTAGCGTTAAACACAAAACTCTCAAAAATAGCTCGGCTTGTTTTACACATTTAGAGAGCTAGGGAAAGGAATAAGGCCCTTTAAGAACAGAGCTGAAACTCATGTAAAATGCCAGTGATAACAATGATCTCCAATCAAAACAGTAGTTATACAGTGAGCAGAGTTTCACATTGCCATATTTGTGACTTTTTTTTTGTTCTGGAATGACTCAGTGGAAGTTGAGTCTCTCCGTCAGAAGAGAAAGTCAATGAGCTTGAACCTTGGGAGCACAAGCCAATCCGCCATACAGTAGGAAAACCGGTATTCCCAGCGTTGGGTGAAGAACGAAGACTCAAGTATGCAGGCCTCAATTCAGTACTGACTCCGCAGCTTCCCTGATAAGCGAGGCAGCTTTGTCCAATTCCGGTTCTGTCTGTTCTACCGTCACTACGACTCGGATGCTGTCAGGGGCAAAATCAGGGTAGTGGGTCAAAGTTGTTGTCTTTTCGTTGCGCGGCAAAATGCGTGCAACCTTACAGCACAAACCAGACTCTTTAAGCTCCGGAACGCTGTTGCCAGTCAGAGAAGACATTACTGGCTTAGACAGATCAGTGGCCTGACTTAGTAAATAAGACAGCTGCATATGTACTCAGCCTCCTAATACTTTCCTTTGCCCATCAATATTTTTTGCTTCACATAACAGTAGTGATAGCTTTCCCTGTCAATTCAATAATATGGATTATGAAGTCTAGCTGTGGTGACTGGTATAGTTCAGTAGCTAAAAAAGGTACAGTGAGATGATGATGATGTTAATAATAATAATAATTTATTACTTATATCCCACCCATCTGGCTGGGCCTCGAGTCATTCTGTTGTTTCTAGTGACAACAGAATGTAAGTGACCTTATTCTCCCTCCCCATGCTTGAACTCAAGTAACCGTCAGACAGCATTTTATTAGTTATTCTTAAAAAAACCCTCACACATATTCCTGCCCTGAACCCTATTTAAGTATAGATGAGCAAGCCGTTTAGGACAGTCTGCCTGTTCAATAGACGAGCCCATGACTTATAAAACAACAGCGACCTTGAAAATCCAGAGGTTCCAACACAAGCTACGGCATGCTTCTCAACCCACCCATTCTGCCTGCCGTCAGAAGAACACAGTTTTGTTTTAATAGCAAGGTGAGCAAGTATTTACGAACCTGGGTGGTGGGAGAAATTTTTCTTCTTTCTCCAAATAGCGGGCCTGGGTTAATGCAATACCTCTGTTCATACACTGAGGAGAGAAACAGGAACATCAGGTGCCATGCTCATGTGTTATCGGACTGTTAAGTAACATGTGATACCCTGCCACAAGGAGCTAAATACATTTTTAGTCCTGGTTTGTAATCCTGTTCTCTCTCTTCTAGCCATCACCACGGCTGCTCCTTGCTCTACGGGGGCAGTTTAATTGGCCCACAAGCCGCACCCAAACCGAGCTGCCCGCTCGGCGAGTCCCCGCGCGCTGCGCTAAACTGGTGCAGCATGGAGACTCGCTACCCCGGTGCCGGAAATCGCGTCTGCGCATGTCTAGATGCCAGAAATTGTGTCTGCTCCCCCATCCCAGAACCCGGCAAGCCTTAAAAGGAGGAGAGCAAAGACAGACGGCATGTAGCAGCACCCATAAAAGTAATGAATGAAGAAGTGAAGGAGACGGGGTGTGTGTGTGGAGATTCACTCTGGACAATGCCATTATCCAAGAGGCTGGGTTCTACAGACTCTCTCTGTAAATACTGAATAAAAAGCAGACGGTAAGAGACATTTCCTTATCTTCGTATGTTCCTGGGCAACCGACTGGGAGTCGCCTGTCATTGTGGGACCACACGGCTCAAGAGCCAGGGAATTTAGACACATTCGTCCAATGCTATCTTGCCCTCAACACCCATCTCCCATAGCGGGTACAATGCTGCCTTTCATGTGCCTCATTTCAAAAAGGGACTAATCCCAGATGATTGCTGTAGCAATCTTAGGGTTGCCATATTTCAAAGTGTGAAAATCCTTTTCGGCCAAAGTTGTTGAACTTTCCTTTTCTCTTTTTACAAAAAACAGTTCTGGAGTTATTTTTAAGGGAATCTGCCCAAATCTACACTTCTGGCATGGGCTGCCATGTTAGGATATTTCCGTTCCACCTTAAAAGGGAGCAGGCTTTGTGAGTCACTCTCTGTCTCAGGCACAGAGAGAGAAACGAAAGCAATAGACAAAACATAAACTTCCTGTGAACAGGAAATACGCAGACGCACAAAGCCTGCTCCCTTTTAAGGTGGAATGGAAATATCCTAACATGCCATACGTCCAGATTTTCCCAGACTTTAAAGCGATTTCCACCTGGACACCGTTTCCAACGGCCGAATCCCAGCTATGCCCAGGAAATTCTATGGCAACCCTACTTTTCAAATGTAACCTTGCAACCCAGCACATGGAGGAATTCTAGAAGGAAGTGCAACAGAGACTTCAATACAGAACACCGTTCTTCTCATTGTTAGGACTGTAAAAAAGGACTCTTACATAATCAACAATTTCCTTCAGTAGCCTTGCATCACTCTCTCGAGATCCAGTGCTTTCTTCTAAGCGGAGGTGTAATGCTGGAGAAATGGATTGCCCCACTACACGTAGACCAGGAATCCTAAAAAAAGAAAAAAAGGTCAACATATCAAAAACGCTGATATGGTCAGCAATCAAATGAAAGAAAAACTGGCAACGTAAATTAGCAGTCGCTTTGTGACAATAGTAAACTCAATGGAATGCATTCTCTGCTTTCCTGTAGGATTGCATGACTGAAACAGCCAACCACATGGTCAAGTCAGGAAGGCTGCCCCATCCAATGGAACTCCATCCATCCATCCATTCCTATACCAACCCATGATGGATCACAAGCAGAGAGCAGAAGCAAACACCATGCATTATAGCAGATTGCCTAAGCAGCAGGTTGCCCATCTGCAGACTACAGGCAAACTTCCCATCTCCCAAACCTTCAATTACTTTTCTTGGCCTCTGGATGTGATAGGTCCAGTATCCAAATAAAATAATTTGAGAAATGGAACTACTTTCCTACATGGACAGAATTAAATGTTTAACTACAGCAAGAACAGCTTTTCAGCACTGGATCAGCCAATTTCTACAGTATCGTCTAGTTCTGCATAACCTGGAGTGTGGATGACAAAACATCTGGAAATGGCCATGTCAATTCTACCATTTTCTTTCAGCAACTTCCCATCCCACAGCTACATGTGTACTTGTTTTAGATGCTAAACAGCTAGACTCTAGCGCAGCATTTCCCAACCTTGGGCCTCCAGCTGTTTTTGGACTACAACTCCCATAATCCTCAGCTAACAAGACCAGTGGTCAGGGATGATGGGAATTGTAGTTCAAAAACAGCTGGAGGCCCAAGGTTGGGAAACACTGCTCTAGCGTGCCAAAGAGTGTCTAGGAGGAACAAAGCAGAGACAACACTGGCTTGATCAAATCTAGAAACAGAGATGAAACATTCGACTTGGGGAGGCAGTTTCAACTCCTGTAAGAGTGCCAGTAGAATCTGCCTAAACTGCACTTCTAAATTAAGAGGTGAGGCACTTCCCTGAACTGTGGAAGAATATATTTTCCTCCAACTAGGTCAGCATAAAAGGCGTGCCAGCCACGAGTTTTTCACTGGGCAAGTGGACAATGCTGTCAATAGGACAAAGATATGCAAAAACAAATTAAGAGTTTTGCTCAATTTAATTTAGAATTTAATGTCTAGAAACATCTCAATTTTCAATTATTCCACATTAAAATTGCTGGAAAGCATCTTGTTAAGAGCCTGAAATCTAATGGAAGGCTATTTACTGGAAGGAAATCAATAACACGAGAGAGAGAGAGAAGCAGTGTTTGGAGATTAATATCATAAAGCAAGCAATCATCTAGTCACAAGCAAAATCATGAATGCAACTCTAACATACAGTTTACGAGGCAGATTATTATGGAACCGTGTGAGAGGCTTGCATGCTGAAGACTTACAAAATAACTTTAGATCATTTATGAAGAACTTAAAAAGCTCAGGTCCCAATACCAATGCTTCACGTCAAATTCTAACAGACAGTTTAAGTTATAAAATGGACCATTAGCACGTTTCAGAAATGAAGGCAACTAACTGCTACAAAAGGAAAAGGTGGTTTAATAAGAGAAACCGCCTTTGAATGCCAGCCAATTTAAAGCTTTGACATTTGCAGATTTCTCCCCAACCGCACTTTGTCATAAATGTCCTGTACATTTCTAGAGGCTGTTTTAGAAGTCCCAAGTTGATATCCAAGTTCCTTTTGCCACTTACTTAAAATAAACCAACATCTGACTCAAGTACGCATCAAGCTAGAGAAGAACAATAAGCAAAGTGTCAGACAAAGCTCTTCCAGACAAAAGGTCAGTTAATGTTTGTGTTAAGAGAAGAGAGTCTGGCTTTGCTGGTATGGCAACCCTATTCGAAAGGATATTTTACATAGGCAGAGATGGGGAATTTGGCACAATGAAATGTATGCCTAATGAAAACTTGTGCTACAGAAGATGTGGTAAATGTATGAGGTGATAACTTATATGGAAAAGCTAAGGAAAGTATGTAAGATGCACCTGACTACAGAAAAGAGAATTGCAGCGTCGCCTTCAAAAAAGGGAACAGATATCGTGCAACTGCCTAGGGCCAAGGCTCTTTTGTGATTTGAAAGAGGTGCTGAACACTGATGTGTTGAAGACGTTCAACACATCAGTGAATTCAGAGAGACTCATCTAAACTTGGATATATTAATTCACAACCTCTTGCACTAACTAAAGTGAAATGCGCAGAAATTAATTTTGCACAAGAGGCTCAAACCTGAAGCATCCAAAATCTTGATGCTAGTCTTTGCAAATATTCCTGCATTAATACTTGGGAGTGCTCCAAAGTGAGCCCAGAGCAAAGTCTTGGAAACAGGGTCTCCCACAAGTATCTATTTTCTGCAATGCTGCTGGCCAGCTACATCTTAATTATGACCATATTTACAGACACGGACTACATCTTTGGTATCAATCAAAGACTGTATTCCCTGCTAATAATTCAATGTGCAAGTAAAATAGCTAGGAGTGCCTAGGAACAAAGGCTATTTTACACATGACATGTTTATTTACCCCAGCTATAAAATTTCATATAGCACTATTAGAGGGAGTATGATCTTTTAAACGCATGTCTGATATTGAAATGCCACAGAGAAGAATTTTAAACTGAAGATAAATTACGGCTAAACTGCCCATATTGTATTTCAAGAAATTGTTCCCTGCTTTAACTGTAACTGCAGTCAAACGCAGAAGCCGGATTTTCTAAAGTAGCTCAAACTTCAACAGAGCTGGGTGGGGGGAAACCCCACTAGGAGGGGCAATCTTACACAATCCTCTATATGCCTGTTCAGAAGCAAGCCCTATTCCACTCACTAGGGATTACTCCCCGATAATATGGTATAGGATGTTTCGAAAACTATGGCTTTTTTAGGAGGCATTTTCCGTTCAACGTGGAGTTCAAAGTAAGAAGGCAAAGCATTCACTTACCCTTGTAAAGCCTGGTGTATTCGCTTGCATTTTTGTCGTAAAATCTGAAAAATGCCTAGACAAAACAGTTTTAAGTTGGGGTATCTAAAACTGAGCAGGATAAATATAAACAGCTGTTTAAGTCTTGTGCTGGAGTTGCCACTTCTACAAATCTGTGCTTCTACCACTCAAGAGGTTACAGGGAATTTTACATAGAAAATAAATGCTTAGCGACACAAACATGGGGCCCCCATGCTACCTTAAACCATGGGGAACAGACAACAGGCACCGTAGAACAGAAGAAGACCACATGGTCAACAGTGGGGCATTTTTGCCTCTTTTAAGTCAAGCTCATGAATGAATGAACTTCTCTCAAAGGCAGAGCTGGAGAACTGATAGAGAGTAAAAAGGCTTTCTCTTATCTCAACTTCTGGGTAAACAGAAGTGAAGGATGGTGGCAAAATACTTCAGGCCTCTAAAGGAGAAATTCTCTTTCCTGGAGGGAGAACAACATAAGCCAGTGGAGGAGGCAAGGCTGAGAGGTGCTCTAACCCCTAGCCACCTAATTATTTCTGCTGTCATTTTTCCTACACCTTTTCCAACTGTAATCCAGTACAACTGGAATTGTGCACAATGAAATAGATTTGGCCATTCTGAGATTTACATGATGTCATTATGCTACTAGCTGTTTTCAATTCCCTTCGCAAGGATTTCCAACGCTGAATTTGCCTTTTTCTGGCACATTCCGAGTGACTTCTCGACTAGAGAGAAGACTCTTTCCTGGTAGCCATTGCTATTGCCATTTATTTTTCTTTTATATTTATATGTGTATCTCTTTATTCCAAAAAATAAAAACTCATGGCAGCAGCAGAAGAGAAAGAATAAACACCACAATGATGGATCTGAAGGATCTCCCTCATCCCTTGCTTAAAGGTAAAGGGACTCCTGACCATTAGGTCCAGTCGCGGACTTGCGGCGCTCATTTTGCTTTATTGGCCGAGGGAGCCGGTGTACAGCTTCCAGGTCATGTGGCCAGCATGACTAAGCCAATTCTGGAGAACCAGAGCAGCGCACAGAAACGCCATTTACCTTCCTGCCGACGCGGTACCTATTTATCTATTTGCACTTTGACATGCTTTTGAACTGCTAGGTTGGCAGGAACAGGGACCGAGCAACAGGAGCTCACCCTGTCGTGGGGATTCGAACCGCCAACCTTCCGATCGGCAAGCCCTAGGCTTAGTGCTTTAGACCACAGCGCCACTCGCCACACTTTTAATAGAACAAATCACTTATATCATTTGTGGCCCATTCAACTAGCCTGGAAAGATTTCTTAGGATTTCACCACTCCCAAAAAACTACAAACTTTCCTATTGCACTATGCACTAGGTGATATAGGACAACTATTCTTCAGATAACCTAGGCATCATTTAAAAAGAAGGGCTGAGTCAACTAACAAGCATATCAAAATGTAAACTGCAATTCCTACAGTGAACCTATGAGCAATCTCTCACAAGAATAGGAAGTTAAATCCATCTCACAAGTCTGGCAGTTCAAAACTTTGCTGGCAGTTTATGCTAAACAGTTTTCTGCTCTTTTAAAAAAAGATACCTGGGTTTTCCTCCATGATATTGAGGCCCTCAATAGCGGCAGCAGCTAGGAGAGGAGGCAGAGAGGCTGAAAAGCAATACCCTTGTCCAGATAATCTCTGGAAAGAAAAAACAGCATGGAGTGACCACACTTTATATAGATAATTCATTGGTAAACAAGTTGGAATTTATCTGGATGCTTAGTCTGCCCTTGTTCCAAAGACCTAATCTGAGATTATTTCCAACAGCTACATGTGGGCAACACAGCACAGTGGACCAACATCCATCTCACCAAGTTATCATTCTTAAGTTTGAAAGCAGTAACAGTAGTACTGTGAGCAGACAGCCTGGATTCTACTGTCACTATCAACATGCAAGACTTCAATTCGGGAAGGTGCTCTTAGGCACCTGCTGCCTTGATGAGTCTGTGATCAAGAGGCCATCAGTTCAGAAGTGGAGCAAGTTAACTGGCTCTCAGAATCAGAAGTATCTTTATTTGCATCAACCACTAAGCATAGCAATAAAATAAACTGTACTTAAGATAAGAGGTAAAAACTTAACTATACAAAATACATTTTTGAGCTTTACATCAAAGAATAGATCTTAATCTTATTGCTCCCACTAAAAACATTGCAGTTTTTGCTGTCACCTGATCATCTTGATCTGCTAAAAGAAAGGACACAGTAGCAGGGGTTGAGCGACCCAACATGGACAATAATAGAGGGGTAATAACCTCACTCCTCAAATCTTTATATAATGAGTGCAAGACAGAAGCACTGAGCCACTGACTCAATACTGCCCTCTCCACAAGGACATAATTGTTTCCCCAGCAGGATTTTTCAAAATTGACCCTCAAGTACAGCCGAAGGCAGTATATTCAATCTTGCAAAAGTGAAAGCTCGTCTGTATTTTGGAATTGTTAAATTTTGCAAAGAGGGTGCCAAAGTGACTAGGTGGAAAACAATCATACTGTGGATGAAATTTCCTTGTAGCCAAATTATTCTGTCACTTGATATCATATAGGTAAAGGTAAAGGGACCCCTGACCATTAGGTCCAGTCGTGGACGACTCTGGCATTGTGACGCTCATCTCACTTTACTGGCTGAGGAAGCCGGCATACAGCTTTATGTATACTGGGCACCAATTCAGCTGCATCCAGTGAAACCTTTGCCCCATTCCGCAGCAATAGCTGCTGATGCTCATTGTTTGCTGCGGCTCCCTTGGATGGTCATAATAAATAACAAGATGAAAGATGAAAAAATCTTTTAGTAATTCCAGTGGCACCTTAAAAATCAACTAAATATAAGATTTCAAGGTATGAGCTTTCGTGTATAATACACACTTTGTCAGATACTCTGAAGGTCACTTCAACCTTATAACTGTTGATGACTGTTATGGCAGTTGGTTCCACAGGGAAGGGCAAGGGATTTTTAAAGGGATAGATGACCAAAACTAGCTTTAGTGTATATAATGGGACATGAATCCAGTATCTCTATTCAGACCAGGTCTCTCCATAGTTTTAGTTTGGTAATGAGTTGTAATTCAGCAACTTCTCTTTCAAGTGTATTTCTAAAATTCTTTTCCAATAAGACAGCTGCTTTAAGATCTTGTATACAATGTCCTGGGAGATTGAAGTGTTCACCTACTGGTTTCTCTGTTTTATGATTCCTGATGTCAAATTTATGCCCATTTAGCCTTTGGCATAAAGTTTGTCCTGTTTGTCCAATATAGAGAGCTGAAGGGCAGTGTTGGCATTTGATAGCATATATAATATTGGAAGATGAACAAGATGGTGTTATTCCCAACTGACAACATGAAGAGGAGATGCTCCCACCAGCCTACCAACATCTGCCAGACTGGCCAAGTGTGACTCCACTCTGTCCAATACCTGCCTTGGTCACAGTATTCTACTGGAACTCCAAAACATACAACATATCATGCATTTCTGGTTTTTGCACCTACCTGGTGATCAATAACAAAGGATCGCCCGCAGCAAAACCCTCCAATAGAAGCCAGGGAGTTTTCCATGTTTGCACTTATAAGATCAATGTCATCCATCTGTTGCACAAGCAGGGCAAAACCAGAGTTAGATAAAAATAGCATGTTTGGTAATCAGCCATATAGCTGTAGAAAGGTTAGATTGGCTTTCTGAATTATTTAACCCTCCCAAACGTGCCCATAATTAATAAAGCCACAAACTCTTTAAATTCATCTAGAGAACAACGGACAGCAAAATACAAGAGAAATTATTAACTCAATGCAAATTTCTGGTGCCAGTGGGTATCCTACAAAGTACAGTGGTATCTTGGTTCTTGAACTTAATCCGTTTCAGGAGTCCGTGGAAGCTGTGTCAGACGTTCGGCTTCTGAAAACGTTCGCAAACCAAAACACTTACTTCCGTGTTTGCGGTGTTTGGGAGCCAATTTGTTCGGCAACTAAGCTGTTCGGGAACTAAGGTACCACTGTATCCACAATTTAAGTTTTCCTGGTTTTATCCATTGACATCTAAAAGAGCAAAGTGGATCTGAAGCAGCTCTCAACTTAACTCTGGAATACATTCAGTTAACACATTTGACCCGAGTGTCAATATTAATGTAAATTTCTACATGCACTTTCCAGAATGATTACAATGACACAACTCATCTGGAAGAAAAATGCTCTAGGATTCAAAAGATGAACAGGGAGCAGGATTTTTTTCCCTTCCAAGATTAGCTCCTTGCATCTTTCCAAGTTCTACTTTATGAGCTCTTTACCTCTTTGTGGCTAAACAGTTCTTGGACATGTAGAGGACACTACAAGTGAATCCTAGCCAGTAATTTGTAAAATGTTCTGAAGGATTTATATAAAGTTATGTGTTAATGTGCATCATGCAGGTATATTGATGCATACGACATCTTTGTGTTAAGTATGTTCTTTCATATCAGAAAATTCACCCATTCATTTGTCTGATCCCAAAGCAGATTCTTGACAAATTCAGAAAAAGGCAAAGCAGTAACAAAAACCTGCAAACTGAGTAAGTTGCAGTAGATTGTTTTAAAAGGAAACTGATTTTGATAACTTGAAGATGTTTTACATATTTGTTGCTATTAATAATCCCTCCTGCATTTAAATTTTCATTGCAAAGCAAATATTTAAAGGATTATGCAAGAGACAAGATTGCCATGCACAGAATTTGCATATAATGGCTGCTAAGCCACTGCTATAAACATGATGAACATATCAAAAGTTGTTTCTTCCTTTTGGCACAAAAAAGCATTGTCATCAGAGAAAAGCATGCACTTACATTTATTCCAAAATGTTCTGTAACTCCTCGTCCATGTTCTCCCAGCACTCCGAAGGAAAGACTTTCTTCCAAAAATAACCTCACTTTGTATTTGTATTTCAATTTCACCTACATATTTATTCAATTGCAAGTGACACAAGACAGCACAAGATTATCGAGTGCTCAGGACAAGAAACCAGATTCATGCACAAGTTGTCAAGTGTTCAATCAGATTGTTGTTCAGTCAACTTCATTCTAAAACTGCAAACCTCCATGCACTTTAATTCCTTGACATTGTTGTAAGATATGGAACACATTTAGCCTGATTATGCACAGAATATAATTTTCTGTGCACTGGTGCCTCACTGAGTAGCTGGACTTTTGGGAGTTCAGGGTGTGTGTGCGGTGAAATATCGAAATACAGAACTGGTACCCTTAAAACTTTGGGAGTAGGAACAGTCTTCCTTGAAGGAACAAATAGAGAGCCTTCTTACTGAGAAATTGCCCAAATGCATTGTAACAAAACTTTCCCCAGTTATAGCACCACTAATGAAAGTTATCAATGCACAACTAGGCAGAACGCAGCAGCACCAATATAACACGCCTCATTCCCAGTGTGAAAATATTGTCTCCTGCCTCGAAATTGCTGCATCCCATTCTTCTGACCCCTGCACCAGTCAAGTGTCCTCATATATAAGGGGTGAAGCCCTCAATCCCTATCTAAGGTAAAGGTAAAGGACCCCTGGGCAGTTAAGTCCAGTCAAAGGCAACTATGGGGTTGCGGCACTCATCTCGCTTTCAGGCCGAGAGAGCCAGCGTTTGTCCGCAGGCAGCTTTCTGGGTCATGTGGCCAGCATGACTAAACCGCTTCTGGCTCAACTGAACACTGTAATGGAAACCAGAGCACACGGAAATGCCGTTTACCTTCCTGCCACGGTGGTACCTATTTATCTACTCGCACTGGCATGCTTTCGAACTGCTAGGTAGGCAGGAGCTGGGACAGAGCAAGAGGAGCTCACCCTGTTGTGCAGATTCGAACCGCCAACATTCTGATCAGCAAGCCCAAGAGGCTCAGTGGTTTAGGTCAAACACACACATCACTAAACAGTCTAGTGTTTTTCTGTTCATTCTTCACATAGCACATAATGACTGGTAGGGAAAATACTTATTGACAAAAACTACCTACTCACCAATTCCGGAAGAGGACAAATATCTCCAGCGTTAACATACAAACCCTCAACCACGATAAAGCGCCGGGTTACACGAGCTTTACGAGGGTTCTGTAGAGAAACGAAAGTTTTGTATGGACGCTTCTTAACAGATGCTTGTTATGAGATAATCTCACTTAGGTTACTATTAAAATGCCATCAAAAGTTGACAGAATGTATAGAAGAAAAGCTTGAGCTTATGCCAGCAGAAATCAATGGCCTTAAACACATTTTTAACAATATGATACTTTGTGGTTAAGCATTCTTTATAGCCAGTAAGCTCTGCAGCCAGGATAAAGGCTTAATGCTATTAACTCCGAGCCTTTAACACAAATGTTGATGTATAAAGAAATGTGCATGGCTCTGTTTTGATACTACTTTAATACAAAAATGGTGCTTACAGTGTGGTTGTGAAACAAAATGGAAGTATTTTTTACACTGCACTGATATTGCGGTGGTGTGTGTTCTGGTTATTTTGAGTTATTTTTTAAAAAAATAAAAAGTGGGTGAACTGCATATCTTACAGTTCCATCTGTAGATTTTTCAAAAGTTAAGTGAAAGTTGCAGACACCAAGCACGGCTATCTGAATAAATGAAACACAGCTGCCAAACCTACTTCAAAAGATACACAACACTTCATTTTCAGAATGGACTAGAAGATAAATAATGAGCAATGAAGGCATCAAAATATGTTAGCTTAAAAATACACCCTACAACACGTCAATGACTTCAAAAATACCGTACCTTCTGATCTTCAATCTCCTGCTCTTTGAGTAGATGCTCAAGGTCAGCCATATCATTATGTTTAAAAAACTTAATGTTGCTTCTGGATGCCTGTAAGCCTTTCTGGATAGCAAAGCAGGCTGCTTCATCACTGTAAATACACAGAATTGTGTCAGTTCACTCTTAGCATGAGCTGCCTTTTTGAAATCTGATTTTTCTCCATAATGTACTTTTCATGAACTGCTACACAATATGCTTTTTTGACCATATGAGCAGCCTCAACCACCTCCAGCTACAGAAGTGGACAGCAAGACTGCATTCGATTAGCAATATCGTCACGACGGGGCTCTTGCATTCTTCTCTCTCTGAAATGGCCACAAGGAGATGACATGCTTTTGCTTCTATTTCCAATTGCAGTTTAACTGTGTTATTTTTATCTATGGTTTATTGAAACAAGACAGCTTCATGAACAATGTTTCCCTCTTTGCCTGTTTTAGCAAACCATAGTTAACATTCATGACAGCTTCCCTAGGTTTCGCTACAACAGTAAAATGTGAAGCTTCCAATCTTCTTTGCTGGTGAAAGAAAGGAAAATGAATGCGCCTGAGGCTCATTCACATAATGATAAAACCATAATTTGTTATGTTTGAATGCAGCCACTGTATGAGAGCTGCCCAATCAATAGCCAACAATTTTGTTTTTCCTGTGTTCACAAGGAACTGTTACTAACATCATTTTGTTTATTAAAATGTTTCTATCCCTCTGTATGAATCAAAAAGATCCCCAAGGTGTAAAAATACACACACACATACACACACACACACACACACACACACACACACACACAGAGTACTTTTTTCTGGGGGGACGAATGCTCCTAAACATTTTATGAATCTTTGTACTTTTGTCCATTTACTGTATTTATTTCCCCCGATTTGAACTTTAAAATGGTGATTTTCTTGAGTCAAACTGAGAGTATATAGAGATCCTTTAAAGGATAGTTTCAGAAGGTGGCATCACTCCTCCAACCCATCACCTTTGGCATACAGGATGTCACACTGATTCATCTTGTCTCTCAACATGAACATGAAACAGCTAGATCATCCCGGTATTTGGGCTAGAGATCATCTATATGCAGATCAAAACTAGCTTTCATTTCCATCTTTTGATGCAATGGAAGTTCCTAAACTGGTGAGTTCTGCAGTAGATTAAGGTGAACAAACCGACGCTTAATCCAGACAAGGCAGAGGTGCTGCTAGCTGGACGTTCTGGCAGCCTGGAAGAGGTTTGGGAGAGGCATTCCTCTTAAAAAAAGAAATCTGGTTTGCAGCTTGGCAGTGCTCTTAGGTAAAGCCTTGCTTAAGGATGTTCAGATAGCAGAAGTGGTTACGGCTGCCTTTTGCCAGATCTGGCTAGTGGAGCTGCTGTGCCCTTATCTCAGAAACCAGACTCAGACATATCCTAGTCACTTCTAGCCGATCATTGTAACACTATGTTAGGGCTGCCTTTGATGGCAGAGCAAAAACTTCAAATAGACCACAATCCCTCTGGCCCAGCGCTGACAGGAGATAGCAGTTTGCAGCATAAAACTGCAATACTGCATCATCTGAACTGTCTACCTATTTGTTTCTATACTCAATTCAAACTCCAGTTAATAGAGTCTGTAAGTCTATAGTCACCACCTCAAATTGAGCCCAGCAACAAACTGGTACCTGGTGAAGATGGAACAGTATCAGGGTTTTATGGTTTGTTTTTTTCTGTCATTTTTATTAGTTTTGGATAGGATTCCGTGGTTTTGAACTTTAGAGCCCTATATGGCCTGGGAACAGAGCACCAACTATCTCCACCCATATGAATCTGCCTAACCCCAGAGATTAGCTCCATGGGTTTGAAATGTGGACAGAAAATTTTCTGAGCTGATGGCAAGATAACCACATCCTTCCAAAAGGCTCAAACTGAGCTTGTCTTCTGAAGAGCAGCTATGACATTAGGGCTGGGGCAGGGGGACCACAGACATCTTTAGGCATTCCTCCTTTAATTAGTTATTTGACTACACTGCTCATAATCTCTTAATTGTAATTTTAAACATAAAGGCTATTTTAATGTTCTTTTATTCATTGTTTTACATTTTTTTAAAAAGTTTGCTTGCCACCTTTAATAATTTTCTTAAAGGAAGCTAGTATATTAAGAAGGGGAAAACTGCCAGGGCTAGGTAATTCCTAGCCATTGAACTCACTCAGTTCATAGGTTACGTGGGGGAAAAATGAAAAGGGGGGGGGGGAATCAGACTACGTATGCTACAGACACATTTCTCTGGGAATGTCTCATTGAGTTCAATGAGATTTACACACGCACACACACGATTTCAGTTAGTATCAACTAACACATAACAAGCACAAGCTCAGTAAGAGTGCTCTAGAGGAGATTTTTGTCTGACATTAAGTAAATTCATTCCAACCACTCATCAAGTGTATTTCTTTGCTTGGCTGTAACCTATGGGGGATACTGACAAAACGTTTCAACAGCTGCTAGCAATTTTTAAAGAGTTTATTCTGAAGCAGCAATTGATCGTTAAAGCCAAGTAGTCATTTTGAAAGCATTTCATAAGCGATTAAAACTACCCCTTAATAGGCATTTAAAATGGTATCAAGATACAGCTTTGAAAATGACAAGATCATATAAGCGATCCTACACTGGTGCTGAAAAATTGTGCATAACCACTTTCCTAACAATCACGTTCAGCCCTTCTTCAAGGAGAAGGCCTATTAAAGCGCTTTTATAACTGTCCCAGTTAATCTCATTTTTAAACAATTGAGATTGATAGCTCATAATGCATGTTCACTAAAACAGACCACAGAACCCACTAAGAGCTGGTAACCAGAAGCAACAGCTTGTAGGTTGTCCCTTTGAGAGAAATATCTATGGTTAACTTGGGTGTACACAGATGTTGCCAGCAGTGGCTGGCAACTATTCGTGGATTGCAACAGCTGGGGAAAGTGTCACTACAACAGGGGAGATTGTCCCTATCAGGTATATGAGATGCCCCCATCTACAGCCCAGCTCATAGGCTTCTTTCTACAAGCAGTTTTGCATCTGTAAGCCATTGGTAGAGACTGTACGAGGAAGGCACACAATGCTTATGTTCACTGGCCACCTTACTGTACTCTAGCCCAGTTTGGAAATCTCTTCCCCAAAGGCTCAACCAAACCTCAAACATGCACAACTGTTCTAAGAGCGCCAAGACAAATTTGTTTGAAAAGGGTTTGAGTTGAAGTGGTTCAAGCAGGAAGAATAAGTTCTGTTTTAGTTTAAACCGATTCTATCTGGTTATCTCCTGCTACATTATCTACTGCAATGTGCTCTACATGGGGTTAACCTTTGAAGGTGACTGGTAAACTACAACTAATCCAGAATGAGGCAGCTAGACTGGTGACTGGGAGTGGCCGCAGAGACCATATAACACAGGTCCTAAAGCATCTTCACTGGCTCCTAATACATTTCCGAGCACAATTCAAAGTGTTGGTACTGACCATTAAAGCCCTAAATGGCCTCAGTCCAGTAGACCTGAAGGAGCGCCTCCACCCCCATCATTCAGCCTGGACACTGAGGTCCAGCTTTGAGGGCCTTCTGGTGGTTCCCTCATTGCGACAAGTGAGGTTGCAGGGAGCAGGCAGAGGGCCTTCTTGGTGGTGCCACCTGCCCTGTGAAATGCCCTCCCATCAGATGTCAAGGAAATAAACAACTATCTGACTTTTAGAAGACATCTGAAGGCAAGCCTGTATCAGGAAATTTTTGATGTCTAATGTTTTACCATTCTTAATGTGCTGTAGGCCACCCAGAATAGCTGGGGGAACCCAGCCAGATAGGCGGGTATAAATAATAAAATTATTGTTTTATGATGAAGATGATGTAGTAGTATTAGTAGTAGTGGGGTTCACTATCACACACAGGATTCTGATTTGATTTGAAGGAAGAAAATTAGGTGAACAAGGCAAGTCATAGGATAAAAATAACCACATCTGCATTGGCACTACCCCCACCTCCAAGTGCTGCAGTTCCAGGAATTGCTAACAACTGCAATGTTCCTTGCTCATGAACACACAGTCCAGGATGGTGGGGATTCCTCTTTTGACAGAGAGTGTAAACTGGCTCTAAGATTATTACCTTTTGTGGAACATGGTACCTAGAAACAAGTGGATTTTGCTATGAAGAACCTCAATCTTACAGAGAGGACAAGAACAACTACCGAGGTTCTGAAGGAGCCTCTTCAGAAAGTCCCATGTACCTCTACTTACGTATCCCTCTGGATACGGAATCTGGCCACGGCAAACCCAGAAGTGTATACTTCCGGGTTTCGCCCCGCATGCATGCGCACAAACGCTCTGCGTGCCTTGTGCATGCACAGAAGCGTGTCTCTATTTACATAATTTTTGGGGTGCAAACAGACCCCCGGAACAAATTAAGTTTGTATCCAGAGGGTCCACTGTAATATAGAAAAAGTGAAGATTACGTACACAAAAACGATGTCTCCTCGTTTTGAATAGGCAGGAATAGCACTGGCAATTGTAGCAAATCCATAGGAATATATGATTGCTTCCTCGGTCCTCATAAATTTGGCAAGTCGTTCCTCCAGTTCCAGATGTACATCTGTTTGAGAAGGGTAGTTTATGTTTTAGAAAAGTCACACAAAGATGCAAAGTCATTAAGAGCATGAAAATCTATTCAACTCTGCCCAGGTTATTTTCTACACACACACACACACACACACACACACACACGGACGGAACAAGTACAGGCTGACAATCCTGTCATTCTAACCAGGTGCAAAGTAACTCATCTGAGTGTTTGACTGCATTACCTTAAAAGGGCACTTATGTTTTGTGAGTAAAAGTAAGCAAGCCACACTCAGATACCTGTCAGAAATATTCCAGAAACGAATACCAAAACGTGTCTGTTGTTGGGAAACTAGAAACAGAGGGAATCAACATTGCCAAGTTTCAGAGGCTTGTTTAGAAAGCTAAGGGGTAATTATCTTAGCTCTATATTAACATAGTGCATTCCAAGTGGAATTCCCCAAGCAGTTTTCAGGCTCGATAAACCAACAAAGCAATCAGTGGAGTTAAATCTCTTCTCCTGACACTTATTCCTATCTTGCATTTTTCCACATTTTTTTTTTTTTGGCCTTCTCTCATCCCCTACCTTCCTACTCCTCCCCAACTCCTCATTTTCTGAACATCCCTCATTTCGAATGAAACATTCGCATCTATCACTTACTGAGCCCTATTTTACAGATTCATCCATTATTATTTTTAAAATGTTTTTATTGAATATTTCCTGGGGTTACCAAAGTACATACATCACCTCTATTTTCAGATTCTAAAGTTCTTTCTGCAGATCAGTGAGACTTTAATATTGCATACTGCATACAAGGGTGGGGGAGAAGAGAGTTGGGGGAGAGAGGGGGAAGAAGGGAGGTAGTAAAGTTTCATTGTTTTACATGGTATATGTGCAAGGTTTTTGTGTCAGCGTCACGTGGGTAGGTTCTCTTTCTATTCCTTTATCAGTTTTCCTTGGCACTGAGAGCGGTTGGGGGCCCAAGATATGAGTGGTCATCTACAGTTGACTGCAGTGAGTTTTGTTTGCCCCATGTGTGTGTGTGTGTGTGGCGTTGTTGGGTCAAGTTAACCATTGATTCATATGCTACTGGTGGGCTCACCTTTATTACACACACAATCCAGCAAGATCCATCCATTTAAGAAGAATTAACCGTTGTCCCCAAATATAATTTCAACCATGGTGAAAAACGTGAATTAAGATCCATCTCATTTTGGGGGTGGGTGCTGGAGGGGCTCAATCCAGCGTAGCAGGAGTGACTGTAGTGTACACAAATGAGTGCCATAAAGCCCAATAGTTCAACTTTCTCCCACCCATCTCCCACCAAATATGAAAAAGGATAGCAAGCTCATTGTTTTGTTTACGTATACACCGATTACATAGGGACATGGGTGGCGCTGTGAGTTAAACCACAGAGCCTAGGGCTTGCTGATCAGAAGGTCAGCAGTTTGAATCCCCATGACGGGGTGAGCTCCCGTTGCTCGGTCCCTGCTCCTGCCAACCTAGCAGTTTGAAAGCACGCAGTGAAAGTAGATAAATAGGAACCGCTCCGGCGGGAAAGCAAACGGCGTTTCCGTGCGCTGCTCTGGTTCGACAGAAGCAGCTTAGTCATGCTGGCCACATGACCCGGAAGCTGTACGCCGGCTCCCTCGGCCAATAAAGCAAAATGAGCGCCGCAACCCCAGAGTCATCCGCGACTGGACCTAATGGTCAGGGGTCCCATTACCTTTATACCGCTTACATGGTAAAATGGCTTCTAAGTGGTTTAAGGCAGCACAAGCGAGCACTGCAAGGAATGGGGTATCTATTCCTCCAAGCACAAGTGGTGGGGAAGAGAGTTTTACTGAGCCTCATGAGAGTCCTCCAGGAGTGGCCACTGTGTCTGTGTTAGGGACTGGGCAGAGGAGAAATGGTGGAGTCCGCCTCCCCATCCTGCCCCTTCCAGGGAGGAGGAGGAAGAAGACAGTATAGATTTACAACATGGGTTTGAGGAAGGTCACAGCTCAGAGGCAGATGAGGGGAAAAGTTGGGAAATCATGGGAGAGCCAGAACAACACCCGGCTGACACGTTGTCATTAGAAAGCATTCCAGACACTCCATCTCCCAGAACCCAGCGAGCCTTAAAAGTGGGAGAGCAAAGAGTTCAAAGACAGAGGGCATGTAGCAGCCCCCGTAGAGGAGATGATGAGAACGACGAATGAGGAAGTGGGAGAGATTTGGGGGGGGGGGTGAAGATTCACTCAGGACAACGCCATTATCCAAGAGGCTGGGGTCTATAGCCTCTCTCTGTAAAGATTGAAATAAAAAAGGAAAGCAAGAAACTTTCCCTTGTCTTTATACTTTCCTGGGCAACCAGCTGGGAGCCGGTGACAGCATCCTGAGAGTCTGACAGGATGAACCCTATTAGTTCAGACCTTTCAATATAAAGGAAGTTGCCAGGATTAGAGATACTGGGGAACTGGTAACAGGCCAAATTAAGGAACCTTGTCTCCCAATTTTCTCAGCTCAAAATCTCTCATTATCACATCAGGAGGGGGGCAGTTTGGACCCAATTTAGTGACCAACATTCCTAAGAGAATCTGCTGTTAAAATCCAAGGGAAAGGGGCAGGGCGTAAACCTTTCTCTTCTCATATTCCTATGCACCCTTGGTATTAAGCAGGAGCATGAGAAGATGACACATACACTGGAAAGAACAGCCAAACCTTCAGAGTAAGAAGTCTTTCACCATACTGAAAACCACATGGCTTTAAAATTAAGAAGTCAGGATATCTAGATGGGAATCTAGTCAAAACATCATCAGTTATGGTCATGGATAGTGTTTCGCCACAATCTTCCAGTAACAAGGAAGGTAAGAGAGAATTCTAGCACCACCACTGAAATGATTAAAAGGAGAAGGGAGCATGGAAGACATTGTTCTCATATGGTAAACTATCAAATCACAGTGCCCAAAATGCCGACGATAAGATGAACACTTTGCCTTGTGAAACCTGAACAGTCCCAAGTGACTTCCTGGAAGCCATTCCCAATCCTCTAGGTAAAAACACCAGCAAGTTAAGCAACTCCCACCAGAAAGTCAGACTATACGGGAGATAAAGGAAAACGTTTAGGCTCACTGCATTGCTGTCTCTATAGCGCTCTGCAGACAGGAGAGGAATGTGAAACACCCTCACACTGTGATTAAATGCAGACTAGGAGCTTCACAGCAGGATTTGTATTACAAAAACCCTCCGCTTGAGGTTTGAATCCAAACCTCTTGATTACCACACAGATATAGTATGTTGGCAATATCTACATTACTGTGTTCGCAAGCGGTCAAGATGTTTCGGCCAGAAATCAGACTGCCCCCTCGTGGCCTCTTTGGAAAGCTCAGTATTTAGTCTTTGCTTCGGCTCTGCCAATTATTCCTGTATGACATTTTTATAACAGCGAAAAGAAGCTGTGAGTGTATGCGGGTGTATCCCAAGAAGCATTCTTGAAACAAGCTGAAGGCATCATCCAGCAATGTATTCTGCTCAAACAAGATAGATTCTGTAACCGATACACACTGGAGAATCTAACGAAGCTTCTGTAAATAATTGGCTGTAACGGTTTCATGTCCCTGGAAAAAGCTGCAACTTCTATTGCAAGCAGAGATTGTGTGAAGGCTGCTGCTGTGGAAAAAAAATCAGGAACTGATCTGGAAAGTTTAAGGGAAGCACAGGGAAAAGATGGAAGTTAGGATGCTGTTGCAACTGTCCTGCCCAGATGGATCTGCTTTCAGGTCCAGTTGATGTGGCCAGAGGCAGTCTGAGACTGGCCAGAGGCAAGTCATAGGAATTCTTTTTTAAAATTATGTCAAGGCAATAGCTGAATTCTTTAACGAAAAGCTTCACAGTTCCTGTTTCTTGCTACTGGCATTACAGAATATTCAAAGACTAGGATTGCCAGTGGAAATCTGAGCAGCCCCTCAGACCAATGCGGAAGTAGCTCTAGGGTCCTGGGTGTCAATCTTTCGGGGAGAACATGTGGCTCATCCATTATAAGTACATTTATGCCCAACTAACTCACTTGCTTTTGTCTGGATCATGTTGTATTGGCATGGTTAAACAGTTGTGTTTCTGTATCTGTAGGCCAATGAATGGCTCTAGAGAATTCTCTGAGTGAGAATTCCTCTCGCTTCTTTCAGTCATTACAATCCAACTGGACTCTGGTTTATCCTAATTATAATACTTTGTTAAGTATTGTGGCTTCACTTTCACAAGATGCAAAAGTGATCTCTTTTCACTCATAAAGTACAAAACTGCCCAGCAAAGTACTCTCCCTGAAAAGACTGAGCATGCAACCATGGGCGTACTTCTGGATGCAGACTAAGAGCTGCTTCTGACTTTTTAGGGGGCCCTGCTCAAACTCATATGGATAATTCCAGGCTTGGAAATATCTTCTAAGCAGCAGCAGCCAAAAAAAAAAAAAAAAAGTTGACAGAAATGTGGACTTTGCAGCAGTTACTCTTTCCCTTCAAATCCCTCCTGTGAACTCACTTTTTCTCTGATGTCTTTGGCAGAACCTCTTAGCTCTCATTTGCTACTGATGTAATTCTGTACCTAGTTCCCCTTTCTGTACCTAGTAAAGCCCCTCAAACTCCGTGAGCAGACATGTGTATTGTGTTTGTGTGTATCTATATAAATATCTATATATCTCGTCTTCCAGAGCAACTACTCTATTCCGGACTTACAAATGGAAAGCATAATGCTGGTGGTCAACAAAAGAGATTTAAAGACTGACTCAAGGCAAATCTTTAAAAAATGTAGTATATGCACTGACAACTGGGAAACACTGGCCTGTGAGCGCTACAACTGGAGAACAGCCTTGACCGAAGGTGTCATGGGCTTTGAGGACTCAGTACAAAAGGGAGAAACATGCTAAGAGGAAGCCACGCATGGCAAACCCCCACTGTGATCAACTCCGGCCTGGAAACCTATGTCCCCACTGTGGAAGGAGATGGGGATCCAGAATTGGCCTCCACAGTCACTTAGGGACTCACTGTTAAAACTGTGTTTATGGAAGATAATCTTACTCGCCAAAGAAAAGAAGGAGGAGGATTGAGTTGTAGTATGTTCAACTGAAGTGAATGGAAACTCCTTTCTGTTTATGCTCAGTTTCAGCTTTCTTTCTGCCGCCTCCCCATGTCAAACTCTAGATTGTGTGCTTCTCAGGAAAGGGAGCATGTGCTCTTGTTATTACTCCATGTGTGTGCATGTATATGACACTATGCAAAAAAACAAGCTTACATGCCAATTCATCGGAATGAGGAATACGTCAGCATTGGTTCACATCTCCCAATTCCTTTATGTGATGTCAAAATTCAATTAGCTACCTTTAATGCTCTACTGGAAAAAACAGGTTACACATACCAAAGGTTCCATAAAATCCCCTTGGGCCACAGGTGCCAACACCGTATTTTGTCAGAGAATTCTGGGCTGCATTCTTTGAATAAGCATAACAGGAGAAGAGTTGTTAAGTACAGTTAGAAAAGAAATGATTTCTACAGTATTCATAGAATCACAAAATTGACCACGAGGACTGGCGCTGGATACGCCTATTGTTCCAGTCGCATTTTGCCACTGGCAACTCACCTTTTGCGACTGGATGGAGGTATCCGGGAGCCTCTATTGCGCCGAGGTACCTCCACCCCGGCCTGGTTGCAGCCCACTGTCTGCAGGCAGCAAAAGACTGTCTCTCTCCACCCCCCACCCCCGCAATGCTGCTGGGAGAATCAAGTGTTTTATACCAATTTGTATAAAAAATTATTAACTGCTGATCTTAGAATGCTAAGTCAGGACACTTGATTAAAAAAAAACACCAGGTTACATTTTTGTTTTTACTGGATTATTTTTGTTTATTTTAAATAAAAGGATAAAGTTTAAAACACCCACCTTTCTTAATTGACCTGACTTGACCCCCTCTCCAGAATGTTTTCTCAAAGGCTCTATCTGCACCTACTTCTTACAAAATGCTTTTGCTTGCTGTATTGGGCACTTTAACATAGACAGCAATGCTTGTGTGATAATGTAATGTCCCTTTATAACGTGGCTAGGGGTATCAGACTGCCTTCAAAGAGGACCTGCAAAGGCACCAGGAAGCATCAGTGCTTTTGTGCTTCCTGTTGTGTCATCTCCCCCCACCTTACTGTTTGCAAGGAATCACTTGCATCTCCCCTAGCAGGTTCTCTTCCACAAATATTCCTGTAGGGAAATTGGTGGGTAGGCTGCTTACTGTTGGAAAGGACAGTGTCCTCATTATGGGATTCCCCTCTGTTGCTCTTGCCAGGTAGCTATGACACTTACATAGCTGCATTAAAAAATCCCTCCTAAGCTATTATTTCTCTCATGTTATTAAACCTGCCTGGATTAAATGTGTGCCAAAATCTGGTTTTTTAAAACAGAAAACTTTTAGTGTCTTTAAAAAAGAAATCCCTATATAAATAAAAAAGTGGCATCTAGACATTCTGTTTTTGCACGTACAATTCCAGCCCCAGGAGCAATGTGGCTCCTAGCTTTTGTATCCCAGATCCTAACACTGATGAGAACCATCTAGTCCAACTCCCTGCAATGTAGGAATCTTTGTCTCAACAAGGGGCTCAAACCCATGACCCTGAGATTAAGAATCTCATGTTACTGAGCAGGGGTCGGCAAAGTTTTTGTGGCTTGGGCCGGTTCACGGTCCCGCAGTGAACTGGAGTACACACATGCACACGCTATTTCCGGCACTCCTTCCGGCGTGGCGGAGGCGTGCATAGCTTCCCATTGGTTGCAGGAGCTTCCTGCAGCCAATGGGAAGCCGGCCAGAGTCGCAGAAGGCCGTCCCTGCTCTGCTCCGTGTCCTATTTAGCGAGGTGCACAGAAGCCAGCCGGGCAAGCGGCGGGGGTCCATGGGTTGGTTAAACAACCTCCATGGACCGCTTGTGGCCCATGGGCCTTAAGTTACCGACCCCTGCTACTGAGCTATCCCTTGGGACATTCAATAGCTATTCCTTGGGACATTCAACAGTATTAGTATTGGCACTTTTGTGTCCCAGCGAGTACAGATGAATGCAACACAGTTGCCCTACAAACAAGATGCTAGACAATGGTTTGAAAGCATACTGTATTTATTTACAGGTAGGTAGCCGTCTTGGTCTGCCGTAGTCAAAACAAAATTAAAAAATTCCTTCCAGTAGCACCTTAGAGACCAACTAAGTTTGTTATTGGTATGAGCTTTCGTGTATCTGAAGAAGTGTGCATGCACACGAAAGCTCATACCAATAACAAACTTAGTTGGTCTCTAAGGTACTACTGGAAGAAATATATTTATTTAGATCTCTAAATCCTAGCAGGTATGTTGCCAGGGGTTCAGCAGCTAAAAGGGAGATTTTGCCTAGGATTCTCATGTAGACTTTTCAAGCACAATATGAACAGCAGTATTATAAAACTGTGGTACTGAGTTCAAGATTAAACTGCAGTTGCCCCTTTGGAGAATTTTAAACTATGGCTTAAAGTTAACAGCACTAAATGACTCTGGTATGCAAAGTATAGCACAGCGACATGTTGCTCCCTCCCTGCTTATTAAACCGTAGATTATTAAGGCATAATTGTTACACTTGAGCCAATACCTACAGATGAGCAACAGCGCAGGCACTTACCTTGACCCTTTCATTATCCAAAAGCCCAAGAAAATTAAATGACGCAAAGTTTATGCATTCCTTGCCATTCACGACAATGTTATGAATTGGAGGCCTGAAAAGAAAAGAAAATCAAACTTTTCTTAGCTTACTAATAATCCTAACTTTGTTTCAGGCACTTGGTAAGAGAATAGTGCTTTTAAAAATTCTGCACAACACTGTAAACACAACTAATTTGAAAATACATATTGCAGTGGCGGAAGCTGTTCAGTCTTTCTGGTGCAGGGATTCCTTTTTTAGTATTTATATCACATTTCAAACAGCTGCATTCCTGTTGATGAAACCATGGCTTTGAAGGTAAGGTAAAGGACTCCTGGATGGTTAAGTCCAGTCAAAGGCTACTATGGGGTTGCGGCGCTCCTCTCACACAGAATTTGGCATTTTCGGACACTAACTACTTTCAAGAACCCATATCTGAAACTCTGGAACATGCAGTGGGGAGGAAAATTTAAGCAGGATCTTGGGAAACATAGAACTACCTTATGACAATCAGAAATTAAAACTGCTCTAGTTAAAGATCACTTTGCTTTCAACAGAGCTAAAATAAAGAGGTTTCTTACCTTTCCTCAATGATCAAATATCTATTTACTTGTGTGTGTTTTATTATTGAACTACTATTGCAGGACATGCAAGTTAGAAAACAAATCCTTATGTCTAACTACTAGTTTTAGGATAACTTACTTTGGGGTCAACATTAACATTCAGAATATTATAGGTTTTGCTTCTTAACCGGGGTGTATGGGAGGCGGGTGGCGCTGTGGGTTAAACCACAGAGCCTAGGACTTGCCGATCAGAAGGTCGGCAGTTCGAATCCCCGCAACAGGGTGAGCTCCCGTCGCTCAGTCCCTTTTCCTGCCAACCTAGCAGTTTGAAAGCACGTCAAAGTGCAAGTAGATAAATAGGTACCACTCCGGCGGGAAGGTAAACAGCCTTTCCATGCGCTGCTCTGGTTCGCCAGAAGCGGTTTAGTCATGCTGGCCACATGACCCGGAAGCTGAATGCCAGCTCCCTCGGCCAATAAAGTGAGATGAGCGCCGCAACCCCAGAGTCGACCACGACTAGACCTAATGGTCAGGGGTCCCTTTACCTTTACGGGGTGTTAGGGGAGGGGTGGTGAGAGACATGTTAGGCTCCTTCTGGGGTAGTTTGTCCACATTTGGTGCCCAACCTGCACTCAGCTCTCACCTGTGGCTCCTCAAAGCTGTCAGAATGTGGCAGCAGCAACACCCTGGGAATGGCTTCGACTGGCCGGCTAAACCAGGTGAGAGTAGCCAATGGGTCTCAAACCCTTAGTGAGTTAGGAACTTCCCCTGCATGTGAAAACAGGCTCCAGCAAACTGAGTGGACGAGGCCAATAAACAGTGGGTTCAATGGTCAAGAAGGCGGTTTCTGGAAGGAAAACTCTGATCCTAAACCTCTGTTGCCTTGCAGGATATCTTTGGGAGAAGAAAAGGCGAAGGAGTAAACCCGACACAATTCCAGAGTGGAGTCCCTAAGATGGTTGGATGGCACCTTGTCCGCCTCCTTCCGGCAACTCCTACAGCCAAGCTTGTGCCAAACGTATTGTTTTCCTTTCCTTTGGACCACATCAGCGAGGCCGAGAGGGGGGGGGGTCTTGTCGTCTGGGCAGCCCAGGGCCCCCATACACACTGCCCACGCTTGCATCCCAGAGAGATCACTTTGGTACTGCTAACACAGTGGTTTGCCTTCACTCTCGGAGGCGCATAGAAGCCAGCAACCATTTCTTAACCACTGAAATCTCCCCAGCTTAAAAAGTTTAGATTTGATGACAAGCTTTCACAATAACATTTCTGAAAAGTCACCAGGCAAGTCTCTAATATCAATCAAGCAGCCGAATGCCAACTAAGTGAACCAGACAACAAGCATCTTCATGAGGGTTTTTTTTAAAAAACAAAATTTTGTTGCGAGCTAAAAGTTCAATCCATTCTGTAACCTGGTTCTCAAAGTTTGCAAGAGAAGAAATCACAATTTCCCCTGAAAGTAATCAAAGCTGCAATATTAAGCATACTAACTATGAAGCAAGCACCTTTGAAGTCAGGAGGACTGGCTTTCAAGTAAGCATGCAAGGGATTGGGCTGTTTAGTCAAACATGGAATTGATTTATTCTACGATTACCCTGAAACAACATTGTAGTTGAGAGCTGGATGGTCTTTGGATACAGGAGGAACAAGTGGTTCTGGTTGCCATTCTTCAATCAACTCTTCCTTTTCCTAAAACAGAAAGAAGCCAAAATATTGGTTGTTAATAATTTTATTGAGAAAATCAGGAAGAGATTTTTGATCTAAGCAGATGGATTTTACATGCATATCTGGTAAGTTAAATGGATACAAAAATGTAATTCATTCATACTAATATGCTTCCCATTTTCTAATCCACATATGTATTTCATGTTCTATGCATGCCAGTTGGCACTGTAACTATTGCCACATATTTGTTTGCGCTGGGAAAACATTTGATTATGCTGACAACATGTTTTTCCAAGAGCAATATAGACATTAAAAGGATCATTATGAAATTAATAGACTTCTCTGTACAGATGCACCAAGCAAGTCCGCCCACCTGAATATTGGTTTTATTATCATCTTTATTTCTTCATTGTCCAGTATACCTGAATGAGCGTCTTCACACCCATCATTCTGCCTAGACACTGAGGTCCAGTGCCGAGGGCCTTCTGCAAGTTCACTCGCTGCGAGAAGCCAAGTTACAGGGAACCAGGCAGAGGGCCTTCTCGGTAGTGGCACCTGCCCTGTGGAACACCCTCCCACCAGATGTGAAAGAGAAAAACGACTACCAGACTTTTATAAGACATCTGAAGGCAGCCCTGTTCAGGGAAGCTTTTAATGTTTAATATACTGTTGTATTTTAATATTCTGTTGGAAGCTGCCCAGAGTGGCTGGGGAAACCCAGACAGATGGGCAGGGCATAAATAAATAAATAAATAAATAATGCCAAAAAGGCCTCAGGGCAACGTACTGCCTGGATACAGTGGTGGGATGGATGAGGGAAAGTAAGCAGAACTTGAATCCTGGCAACACACTATGGGTGAGTGGTTCTTGTGTCTGAGAAATTGGTCAAGTGCCTGGCCTGGGTGGGTCTGTACTCCCCCTGAAGGAGCAGGCAGGCTGTTTAAGGGTGCTTCTGGACCCAACTCTTACACAGGTGGCCCAAGATGTTTCAGTGGCTAGAATTCCTTTTATCAGCTGTGACTGGTGTGACAGCTAAAATCATGCCTGAAGTGGGACAGCTTCACTTCAGGCTTTGGTGATATCAAGAATGGATCACTGCAATGCACTCTATGCGAGGCTTCCTTTGCAGCAGGAAGATGCAGGTGAGGCAGAATACTGCGGCAGGCTGCTGACAGGTAAAAGGACCCCTGGACGGTTATGTCCAGTCAAAATCGACTATGGGGTGCGGCGCTCATCTCGTTTTTCAGGCCGAGGGAGCTGGCGTTTCTCCGCAGACAGCTTTCTGGGTCATGTGGCAAGCAGGACTAAACCGCTTCCAGCACAACGGGACATCGTGATGAATGCCAGAGCACACGGAAACGGCGCTCACCTTCCCGCTGCAGCAGTACATATTGATCTACTTGCACTGGCGTGCTTTCGAACTGCTAGGTTGGCAGAAACTGGGACAGAGCAAAGGGAGCTCACCCCATCACAGGGATTCAAACCGCTGACCTTCCGATCAGCAAGCCCAAGAGGCTCAGTGGTTTAGACCACAGCGCCACCATCAACATTTGGCCACAGGTTCCTCACCCACACTGTTTTTGAACTGCTAGGTCGGCAGGAGCTGGGACAGAGCAACAGGAGCTCACCTCGTCACACGGATTCAAACAACCAGCCTTACGATCGGCAAGCCCAAGAGACCAAGTGGTTTAGATCAGTGTTTCCCAACCTTTGGTCTCCATCTGTTTTCAGACTACAATCCCATCGTCCCTGACCACTGGTTTTGAAAGCTAGGGATGATGGGAGTTGTAGTTCAAAAACAGCTGGAGACCCAAGCTTGGGAAACATTGGTTTAGACCATAGTGCCACCCGCATCCCTGACAAGAGGGAGATCTTGCCCACTCAGATTTCTGCACTGGTTGCCCATACGCTACTGAGCCAAGTTCAAAGTGTTACTTTTAGTATATTAAGCCCTTAACAGCTTGGAATCAGTTTACTTACAGGACCGCTTTACTCCATATATGTCCAATTGACTGCTTTGGGCTGTGGGCCACTTAATATTTGCTCCACACTTGTAAGAAATCCGTATTTTAGTGGGGGTGTCTTTGTTATACTTTTTCCAACACCCGCTGAAAACATTTTTGTTTAGGCAAGCCTCTCCTGGCATGTAGAACTTACGTGTGTTTTGTATTTTTATCTACTGTTGATTTTAATAACCTTTTGAATGTTTTTAAATACCTATTTTAAACTGTTTATTGAGAATTGTAATGTTTTAGTTTATATTTTTGCAAACTGCTTGGAAGTTTTCTTATAACCAAGCAATACAGTCAAACCTTGGTTGTCAAACATAATCCATTCCAGATCTATTTGGATATATATTGCATAAACAATTAAAGAAGAGCACACAACCAGGGTTTGGTAGAAGCTCAGGATGTGATTTAATAAACACAACTAGTTATGAAAGTGGAAATGATTCATTTTGTTGTTGCTATAACATGAACACAAGTTATACTTAGAATGCCCCATCTCACTTGTGAGCAAGTAGTCATTACTATTCATTACGCTAAAGGAAAAGCAGAGATGGAAGCTTCCCAGGGGCTAAGAAACATCATTAGGTCTCTGAGGTACTTTTAGTTCCTTCTATTTCAATGCTAACTCCTGCTTTCAAATGAGTAAGATAGATAAATATAGCATTTACCCTAGATCTCACTAACCACAAAGCAGTCATAAATGCCCTACTTTTTCCAACCTATTTAATACCACAAATTGTAATAACCACTAAATTAGATGGGTTTTTTTTAAAAAAAAAACCCTGCATCGTGAACAATTATTTCACAATGGATGCTTAACATTAGAGGCAGGCTACCCCTGAACATTCTGTACTGAAGTCAACTTCATATCATGCTTGCGAGCTTTCCAGAGATACCTGGCTGGCTACTGTTGGAAACAGATGAAAGACTAGATGGACCTTTGGCAAAGGATCTTTATGCAGTTAAAGAGAGAAAAAGCATACTGCCTCGCAAATCTCCCCGTCAAACGAAAAACAAATCGCAGAACAATGTGTGTAAGAAGACTATCTATTCCTAAAGAGCTGCATGGACCCAACCATAGTAGCATCTACTTCGAGGGATGGGGCCTTCTAGATGTTGCTGAACTACAACTCCCATCATCCTTTGCCACGCTAACGGGGGCTGTTTTGAGTTGGAGTCCAAAACATCTAGAGCAGACATGTACAACCGGGCGACAGCAAACGACAGGTAGATCTCCAGGCTATTGTGGTCAATTGCGGGATCGTATTCGATCACCAAATATGAAACAAAGGGGAATGGAATATTCCCCTGCCTGCCCCCTCGCTGTATTCCTCTGTCATGTCCTATGTGCGGTCCCCTGGTGCTGTGTCCAATTGCTGCTGTAGCTGTGAAAGCTATCATGTCATGCACTGACGTTTGAGTGTTGTAAGTAGCTATTGCTGCGGACTTAAGTAATATCGAATTAAAACATTCTCAACAACCTGGTAGTCTCTCCTTCCCAAAAAAGCTCAAAAAAATGACAGTGGGTAGATCACTCCCAGTGTTATTTTACTGGGAGTAGATCACAGTCTCTAGAGTTGGATGTTCCTGATCTAGAGGTTAAAGGTAAAGAGACCCCTGACCATTAGGTCCAGTCGTGGCCGACTCTGGGGTTGCAGCGCTCATCTCGCTTTATTGGCCAAGGTAACCAGCGTACAGCTTCCGGGTCATGTGGCCCCCATGACTAAGCCGCTTCTGGCGAACCAGAGTAGTGCACGGAAACGCCGTTTACCTTCCCGCTGGAGCGGTACCTATTTATCTACTTGCACTTCGTGCTTTCGAACTGCTAGGTTGGCAGGAGCAGGGACCTAGCAACGTTGTGGGGATTTGAACCGCTGACCTTCTGATCGGCAAGTCCTTGGCTCTATGCTTTAACCCACAGCGCCACCCGCATCCCGATCTAGAGGTTAGCCACTCTTTAAAAGCCATCATAGACTGGCCCTCCAAGACTGCCTCATTCCCTATGAGACCCTGTCCACAAGTCAGGCTCTGCTCCAAATATATTTGCTTTACCAACTAATAATCCGCTGAAGGGAGCTGGATATAGTGAAACTATTGCTTTCTGTAGAGGTTATGATCTGCTTCGGAAGGCTGATACTTTTTGGTGTTGCTAGCTGCTTTGACCCTTGGAAAGGTGAACTAAGCATATTTTAAAATAAAAAGCAAGTTACATCTCCACTTCGTTATGAGTGACAGCTGTGAAGAAACTAGTCGTCTGGATCAGTAGAGAAGAAGTAGAGCATTTTTCAGCCATATTGCCATCATATCTGTTCTCCTGTGGAAAACTGCTGTACGACACACAGGGTTATTAAACTGAGCAATCACCTTTCAGAATAACTTTGGAATCAGGTGGGGAACTGGATCCAGCCAGCCTTGTCATTATATCCCCTTCCGTTCTGCAACCCAACATGGCTCAGCCATGACTGTCACCTTGCATCACAATGACATAATGGCTTGAAATCAACCTGCTTACTCCTAAAGCTGATCAGTTGATTGTTAGGTTTTGGGAAGTAATGTGCACTGGGCTTCACAAGTGCCAGCAATCAATGAACTTCCAAAGCCCTGGGTACAGAAGTGCTGCCAATCAGCTGATCAATAGAACTTGCCAAGCTAAGCACATAGCACCACTTTCAAAAAGTAATTGTCACAGGAACTTTTTTTTTTTTTTTTGCTACGCAGAAACCAACATCACTTTTTAAAACAGCACCCCTAAATACCACAACTTATTAAACAGGCTTGGAGCCAGAGAAAATCATGGGCTGTGGGTGTCCTGAACAGCACCCCACACAGTCTGTGTCAGCCACAACCTCCCTGCTTATGCAATCATACTTCTCTAGAGCCAAGTCATTAGTAATACGAATTAACTTAACACAGCCCATAATCGAGCAGGGGTTTTGTGTGTGTGTGACACTTGTATATACACTTGTATATACAGCTATGATTAGACTCAGCCCCTCTTCTCTCCCCACCCCACCCCCCGTTCTCTCTTCCTACCACTTCTCCCCCAATCTTATTCACGTCAAATATAACTGATATGTAAAAGGGACTTTATGATCTGAAAATAGAGGTGATGTATGTACTTTTGTAACCCAAGAAAATCTTTCATAAAAACATGTTGTTGTTCTTTTAAAAAAACGATGATTAGACCGAAGTGCTTATTTCAAGCATTACAGCTATTAATCATATTGACTTTTAGTTTTTTGTCAGAGCATACTGAGACTATTTTGGAACATCAAACCTTAGGTGTGAGGTCCGATCGCTCCTGAAGCTTGTACGTCTTGGAGAAAAGAAGTCTGATTATCCATAGGATTAGAATACCTTCCAAAATAAGATGGTAAGTTGGAGCCTGGAAAGTAAACAAAAATACCAGCTGCACATTAATCATTTCTCTAAGTTTGCCATCTCTTTAAATTGTACAAGTTAAATTCACCACTGCTGTTTTAGGCAAACTTGTAACCTGACTGAAATGTTTAGGAAGCCCAGCACTGACCAATCGGAAGGTTTCAAAAGAGAAAATGGACAAAGGCTGGATTTATTCTCTTGGATCCAATAACACAGCCTTGTAAACAAGCCTGCAAAGGTTCAGAAGTCCCCTCCACTGCACTGAACATGGAAATTCAGGGCACTAGCAAAAGAGAATACCTTCTCCCAAGAAGGTTGCTGTTGGAGACAGTGGTCCATTCTTTCTCCACTCGTTGATGTTATGGAACTGCTGGCTGCCAAACAAGTTCTTACATTTCCTAATAGGCAACTTTATGCAACTGGTATAGCTCAGAACAAGTGTTCTATACACTTAGCTATGTCTCCATTCACAGAATATCTTTCTTACTTAAGATCTCTATTCTCCCATTAGAGCGGTGTTATGTGGACATGTTGTAGACACACAGGATCTTCAAAGAGTTCAACAGTCTCTTCTCTGGGAAGATTGCTTCAACAAGCATCAGGTCAATGGGTTTGAACAGAATAGGTACACATCACTCCCTTAGAAGTATAGGCCAAAAGGTTAATCTGCTCCCTCAAAGTGCCGCATCCATGCCGTTTCCACCCCCAGCATTACTTAGAACTATAAATCATGTGGTTAGATTTCTGAACTTACCGCTCACCTACAGAAGTATAACTATGCCAGGCCAACCAAACTGCTCTGCCAATCCAAATTAAAAGATGTAGTCTCTGAATACAGACAGCGCTAGAAACATGGTACAGTCATACCTCGGGTTACAGACGCTTTGGGTTACGCGTTTTCAGGTTACGGACACGCCAAAACCCGGAAGTACCAGAACGGGTTACTTCTGGGTTTTGGCGCATGCGCATAAGCACTAAATCGCGATCCGCGCGTGCGCAGACGCGGCGCTGCAGGTTGCAAACATGCCTCCCACACGGATCACGTTCGCAACCTGAGCCTCCACTGTATTATGGGTAAGCCAACCAATGGCAATGGGATTTTGTACTAGGTATTAAGACTACCCAATGCAGCACTGTCTGTTCTGACTGAAAGCCAGAAGGCTTGGGAGATGGGGTACGAGCTCTGTCACCAACCCACGCTATAAACAAACAGAAGCCTATTCATTTAAAACATAATGTCCTTCATCAAAACTGATTTCAGAGTGGCTTATTAGGTTAAGAAATACAAATAATAAAAAAGCCAGGAAATAAAAATTAAGAATACTTAAATGTATGTAAAATACTTTAAGACACCTGAATACAAAAGTGTTTGTTTGCCTAAAGCAAAAAATAAGTCCATGTTGGAGAACTGGGAATTAGCAGAGCGTTCTAGACAGACACCCACTGAACGATAACCATTATGCACATTTACCCCACATTTATAAGTGAAACTTACAAACAGAACCTATACGTTTGCTCAGAATTCAATGGTTGTTGTTGTTTAGTCGTTTAGTCGTGTCCGACTCTTTGTGACCCCATGGACCAGAGCACGCCAGGCACTTCTGTCTTCCACTAAATAACCCTTATAATTGCAATATTTAATGATACCTTCTGATATCTTGATGGGAGCTATGGGGTGGGAACCCAAAGCCATCTAAATCCAGTTTGCCCCACAGCAGGAAACAGTAGTAAGAATAAGAATAATGTGGCACACGCACACCATTTGAATGGGAATTCCCCTCAACTTTGAGGGCCCAGCTCCCTTAATAATAATAATAATAATAATAATAATAATAATGTTGCACAGACACACACCATTTGAATGGGAATTCTCCTCAACTTTGGGGGCCCAGCTCCCTCAATAAATAAAATAATAATAATAATAATAATAATAATAATAATAATAATGTTGGACAGACACACACCATTTGAATGGGAATTCCCCTCAACTTTGGGGGCCCAACTCCCTTAATAATAATAATAATAATACTCATGTTGCACAGACACACACCATTTGAATGGGAATTCCCCTCAACTTTGGGGGCCCAACTCCCTTAATAATAATAATAATAATACTCATGTTGCACAGACACACACCGTTTGAATGGGAATTCCCCTCAACTTTGGAGGCCCGGCCCCCTCAAATTTTTATTTTTATTTTCTTGGGAGTGGGGCTGCGAAGGGAACTCTGCCCTTGTTGTTAGCTCCTATGCGTCTTCCTGACGGCCAGCCGTGGCGACCCCTTCCCCCCCCCCCCGCCCACGGGCCTCTACCCCGGGCAGCCACCCTCCTCCCGGAGTCCCACCCAGGCCTCAGCCTCCCTCTTCGGCCGTGGGGGCGGGCGAGGAAGAGACCCCCGGCGGCCCCTGCTCCTTCCCCGACCCCTCGGGAAGCCTCCGGCCTCTCCTCGCTCCGTTCCGCGGAGCCCTGCGGCGACCCACCCGGCCCCCCACCGCCTCCCGGCCCGCTCACCTCATAGAAGGCCTGGACCATCTCCACCAGCACCCACTGCTGCCCCGCGCCCTCCGCCGCCATCGCCGAGAGATGCTTCCGGGTCCCGGCGCGCGCCGCGACGTCACGCCGCGTGCGGGGGCGGGGCTGGGAGCCCGAGGCGGACCCGCCCGTCGCCACGCCCCCTTTTAACCCCTTCCGCTCCCCGGAGGAGCCTGCCTGATAGAGACGAGGAGTGGGGAGCGCGGGTGGAGGCGGCGGGTCTTCTCACTCGCTGACACACACACACCCCCGGGAGGTGGGTGGGTGGGAATCCAGTTTATGGCCCTGTGGCTAATCCTATGCGTGTTTACCAACCACCGGGGGTGGAGACCACCGGGGGTGGAGGACACATCTTACGGAAATAAAGTATTGGAAGGCTTGCAAAGATGCCCCATCCCATAGGATTGGTCGCAAGATGCAGAATATTGGAAGCGTTGCAAGGATGCCCCACCCTATAGGATCAAAAGGTTGCAAGGATGCCCCACCCCATAGGATTGGTTGCAAGATGCAGAATATTGGAAGGGTTGCAAGGATTCCCAACCCTATAGGATCGAAGTGTTGCAAAGATGCCCCACCCCATAGGATTGGTTGCAAGATGCAGAATATTGGAAGGGTTGCAAGGGTGCCCCATCCCATAGGATTGGTCGCAAGATGCAGAATATTGGAAGGGTTGCAAGGGTGCCCAACCCTATAGGATCAAAAGGTTGCAAGGATGCCCCACCCCATAGGATTGGTCACAAGATGCAGTGCACGCACGCCATTGGAATGGCAATGCCATTTCTTAATTTACAAAAATAGGTGCATTATCTCTTTTTTTCAAGTTTTGCTTTCTACAGATCAGTTTCAATTGTTGTGAGACATGTGTGTTGCATTAGATTCAGCAGGGCTTACTCTCAGGTAAGTGCAGCTGCAGCCTTTGTGACCCAAGTTCTGGGTCCTTTTTAGGTTCAGGATGTCAATGCTTTACACTCACCCCCACCCCTCACAATATTTGAAAACGTACACTTTGTACTTTGTACACAAATTGGCCGGGAAATTCTCGGTGTCTTTTATCAATTTATTTAAAGAACAACAAACTGGTGATTGCTTTAACTTTTGGATATGTGGTGATTTGAATCATGAGGATGAATTAGAAGATCTGCTGAGTCTTGAATGAGCCTTGCTTTGGAACTGAGAACTTCATTAGATTTTCTTCTGCCTTTTATTTTGTTCCAAAAGCTTGTTAGAGATAATGTGTAAGCGTGGTTAGCTCCCTAAAAAAAAGGTCAGCAACTCTGGGGAACCTTTCCTAAAAAAAGGTCAACAACTTTGGGGGTCCCCCCCTTTAAAAAGATGGACAACTCTGGGGGGCACCGGAGGGATCTTTGAACCACGGCACCGGATATGCTTAAGACGGCCTTCCGTCTGGTCTCCAGTAGTTCTCTTAAACCTCCGTCGCAAAGCTATCGCTGCCCCCTTATTATTTTAAGAGGATGGTTCCAACTTGTGTTCTCACATTTTTTCAATGGGCCCTAGATGGTCCTGTCCTATTGGTTCAAAATGCAGCCGGCGTTAAGGCCAGTGGTGTAGGACACAAAGCTGGCTGTGAAAGAACGAGAACAAGAGCATCATAATTCACAAGAATTGCTTGCGAGTTGCCGTTCAGCACCATCTGGAGGGTCAAAGGTTCCCTACAAGGCCTCACCTGATTCTAAATGGTCTCTGTTTACTCTTTTATACAGCAACTTGAATTCACAGCACTTCGTGTAGAAACATAAAGGGGTTCACGAGTCTTTGCCGCATGACGCTTCTGGGAGATCATTTAGCAGGAAGTTTTGGATTGAGGGTGGCGCTGTGGGTAAAACCTCAGCGCCTAGGGCTTGCCGATCGCATGGTTGGCGGTTCGAATCCCCGCAGCGGGGTGAGCTCCCGTCTTCGGTCCCAGTTCCTGCCCACCTAGCAGTTCGAAAGCACCCCTAAAGTGCAAGTAGATAAATAGGGACCGCTTTCTAGCGGGAAGGTAAACGGCGTTTTCGTGTGCTGTGCTGGTGCTGGCTCGCCAGAGCAGCTTCGTCACGCTGGCCACGTGACCAGGAAGTGTCTCCGGACAGCGCTGGCCCTCGGCCTCTTAAGTGAGAGGGGCGCACAACCCTAGAGTCGGACACGACTGGCCCGTACAGGCAGGGGTACCTTTACCTTTTACCTTTGGATTGAGCCAGGGGAGGTCGCAGGATCGCCTAAATCAGGGTTTCCCAAACTTGCGTTTACAGCTGTTTTTGGACTACAACTCCTGTCATCACTAGCTAGCAAGACCAGTGGTCAGGGAAGATGGGAACTGAAGCCCCAAAACAGCTGGAGACCCAAGTTTTGAAAACCCTGGCCCAAATTGTGGACCAAAGCAGATGTGACATCAGATACTTCTTCCAAAATGACATCAGCGTATATAGGTATAAGCTGTCTCTCCCCAGCTGCAATCCCAACCATCTCCACCACCCACTGGCATGGCTATGAGTTAGGGTGCCAATGGGAGCCCTCTGCCCTCGGGATTTGATGCGGTTTCTAAGTACACATTTAGCACCATGCTCTAGTTTGGACCCTGAGTTATTAATATTTATTATTATTATTAATTGAATTTATAAAGGTAAAGGGACCCGTGAGTCCTGTTGTGGCCGACTCTGGGGTAGCGGCGCTCATCTCACTTTATTGGCCGAGGGAGCAGGCATACACCTTCCGGGTCATGTGGCCAGCATGACTAAGCCGCTTCTGGCGAACCAGAGCAGCGCACAGAAATGCCTTTTACCTTCCCCCTGGAGTGGTACCTATTTATCTACTTGCACTTTGACTTGCTTTCGAACTGCTAGGTTGGCAGGAGCAGGGACCGAGCAACGCGAGCTCACCCCGTCACGGGGATTCGAACCGCTGACCTTCTTATCGGCAAGTCCTAGGCTCTGCGGTTTAACCCACAGCGCCACCTGCATCCCATTTATTGAATTTATATACCGCCCTATACCTGGAGATCTCAGGGCGGTTCACAAAACAAAATCAACATCTAAAACCACAATATATATATTCAAAATAAAAACAACAACCTAATAACATCCCCCCTCACAAAAGTGAACCACATTTTAAAAGAGCATAGAATATAAATCAAATCAACTAAAGGCCTGGTTAAAAAGGAATGTTTTTGCCTGGCACCTCTATTATTATTATTGTTACTATTATTACTATTACTATTATTACTATGCCACCCATCTGACATTAGTATTAGTATTAGTATTAGTATTTGTATTTTGTATTAGTATTAGTATTAGTATAGTATTTGTATTTGTATTTGTGTTTTGTATTAGTATTAGTATTAGTATTTGTATTTTGTATTTGTATTTGTATTTGTATTTGTATTTGTATTTGTAACTCATAGCCATGCCAGTGGGTGGTGGAGATGGTTGGGATTGCAGCTGGGGAGAGACAGCTTATACCTAGCTGGGCAGCTTCCAACAAGTAAAACACAATTCAAGCAGACAAAATCTACGCATGGATGTGTGGGAGTCACATGCCTACTACAAGGGAAGAAAGGAGGAGAACCAGCTTCAGTTCTGCACTTCTTGTTCTTCCTGCTACAATCTAGAGAAGGTATTTTACTCATCTCATTGACACTTCCTCTATTGGCTCGCATGGTGGGCTTAGCCCAGAACTGCAGCATGAGGAATCAGTTGAGTCAACACCTAACCAAACTGATTCAATATTCTCTCCTCCTATTTCTCTTCTGGAAAATGGCGAGAAACAAATATTACAAAACGTCCAAGTCGCAACCGTTCGTACGGTCACGTTTGCAACACCGACATAGCATATTTCCTAGGAAGTAGGTGCCTATGAGCCCAGGGGGACTTTACTTCTGTGTAAATCTGCAATCCTAATCCCGTTTACCTGCAACTGGGAGTAAATGTCTCAGAATTCAATATGACTTAATTAATGGCTGTGGTAGCAGAGCAACCCATAAATGCAAAGTTACTTATACATTGAGGGCAAGTGAGAAATTGTATGAGTTAATTCTGAGTAGATATGGTTAGGACTGACTAAGAAATGACTGTGTTAGTCAGCATTTTAATTAGCAATAATTTAAAGCAAAGCAAAACAACTTGTTTATTAAGATGACTTTGGGCACACCCAAAAGGGATTGCTGATTTTGCCGGGTCCCTTATAACACCTTGAAGAGAGGCACATCTTTAAATTGGGAAAAAGGAGGATGGGCAGGTCACATGGTAGAGGACTGTCCCACTCCTTCCGTTCACCTGTGCAGCATTTCCTAACAGAAGGGTAAAAGTGGGATTAATGCTACTATCACGGTTGTGATAAATTACCAGTGTAACCACTCTGCATGCAACTCCCAGCACTTTATGAAACACTATTTGCCACAACACCAGATGGGAAGCAAATTGTACGGTGGGGGGGGGGGAGAGTGAAGTAATAATGCTTTTCAGCTGGTGGCCACGGGCAAAGCAAGTAGAAAAACAGGACTTCAGTTTTGTACTTTCAGCCACACCCTCCCTTAGCATGTCCTGGATTGCATTTTCGGTAAACATCACCCAGAATAAATAATGCATGCTCCAATTTACATAATCCTACGGGTCTTGGGATGTGAGTGTGTCGTCGTCTCCCAGTTTTATAATTTTGTTATAACTTGCAAAGAGCAGCGTGAAAAAGGAGTAGCAGTGAAACAATGGCAGAGAAAGGTTTTGAGAATACAGAAAAGTAGTTCACTGAAAGGGGGAAGAAGGGGGTGTAACAGATTTAGGGAAACCAGGGAATAATGATGATGATGATGATGTTTTATTTATATCCCGCCCTCCCCAGCCAAGACCGGGCTCAGGGCGGCTAACACCAGGTACAGTGGTACCTCAGGTTAAGTACTTAATTCGTTCCGGAGGTCCATTCTTAACCTGAAACTGTTCTTAACCTGAAGCACCACTTTAGCTAATGGGGCCTCCTGCTGCCGCCGCGCCGCCGGAGCACGATTTCTGTCCTCATCCTGAGGCAAAGTTCTTAACCCAAGAACTATGGGGGGGAGGAAAGACAATGTATATACTATGATCTCCTCAGTGGAAGAGGTTCTGCCTTGAAAGAGGGATGAGAGTGTAGTTTGAATACCCTCCAGGTTCCATTTCAGGTCTTTTCTTCTTTTCTTCCAGTTGTGTGCTTGCATACGAAACCAGAAGTGCAGGAGTCTTGAACCCCATCGTTCAACCCAGACACTGAGGTCCAGTTCCGAGGGCTTTCTGGCGGTTCCCTCACTGCGAGAAGCGAAGTTACAGGGAACCAGGCAGAGGGCCTTCTCAGTAGTGGCGCCCGCCCTGTGGAACACCCTCCCATCAGATGTCAAGGAAATAAGCAACTATATGACTTTTAGAAGACATTTGAAGGCAGCCCTGTTTAGGGAAGTTTTAAATGACTGATGTTTTAATGAATTTTTAATCTTTCGTTGGAAGCCGCCCAAAGTGGCTGGGGAAACCCAGCCAGATGGGCAGGGTATAAATAATAATAATAATAATAATAATAATAATAATAATAATAATAATTGAGCCCTAGGCTTAACAGAATCTGGATATTAAGCAAGTCAAGGCTATATTTCTTCAGGCTAGCAATAAGGCATGAACCAGACTACCCTGAATCTTTGACTACAAACATTTTTTGGTATTCATATTTTATTGAAAAGGTTTCCATTATAAAGAAATAAAGCGATACAAAGAAAATAAAAGCAAAAATACAAACATAAGGATAACCCACAAGCATTTGTATAAAGAAACTGTAATGTTGTTCTTTTCCTGGAGAGAACTCTGACGTTCAGTGCCACCAATTTTACAGAATAAAAGGTCCTAGGAGTTAGCAGTACAGTATATATTTCTACAGTACTGGAATGCCAGCGCACAGTCTCGGGTTTTTCCCATGGTGCCAAAATACTCTGTGATTTTCAATGCTGTATAGTTGTTTAAAATCTGAGGTCCGCAGAGCTGATGCTGAAACCACCAGACCAGCCTTGATAGCCTTAAAACCCATTTGTCAACTAGAAAAATGTTAAGCAGTCGATCCTGCCGTCTTGCTGAAGTTCATAAGGGCATTGCTGTGTTTACAGATCATGTAATCCAGACCAGAAGGCAAACAGGAATTCCTTCTACTTATGGGTAAAACATGCGTGGAGGTGATGGCAGAACACTTCGAGCCTGACAGGCATAGCCACAACAATTTAGGATGCTGAGAAGATCTGAGATTTTCATTGTCTCCGGTCTTGGGAAATACAGGAGTCATCCTTAGTAAAGTCTGAGCAATGAGTTATGGATTTGATGCCAGAACTACGCACTGCCCAATAAAATACGAAGATCTGGTGTGTTGTCATAGATCTGCATCACTCCATTGCAAAAACACCTTGAACTCTTTGTAACTAAGGGACTATTTGTAATTAATTTGGGCAGGGTGAGTTTACTTGCTCAATTTGCAGTCTACTGTATACTAAATATGCATATGTGGAAATGATTCACAGGCAAGTCGTATCCCTCTACTGTGTCAGGAAAGGGAAAAAATAATTGTTTCAACGATAAGCAAATATTGGGTTCAAATAAGTATTTGCAGCCTTTTCTGCCTCTAAAAAGCCTCTCTGGAGGTCTATGGGCCTCCCCAGAATAGTTTGTAATGTAGCATGGAAAGTTCCTACATAGAAATTGTCTTCAAAAAAGGTACATTACAAAATTAGTTGCAAGAAAGAAAAGTATCTGACCCTATAAACCCTGTCCCTATTTATTATTGTTGTGGTATATTTGATTGTTCTCTATTCCTCTTAGCATTTCCCCAATTTAAATAACTCAGTTTCCTCTTTGTTGTTACGCAGTACCTAATTTGTGGCTTGCCGTAGTTTGAAATGTTTAAATTGCAAAACTACCCCATGACAAATGCATACATTCATGATCTTATGAGCCAGCTATTGAATTTAGGCTTGAAAAGATAGTGCTCAATACCTTTTGTGCAGATATTTTTCTGTTTCCCTCTACCAATAAAAGAAAAAAGAGGATACTTAGGGAGGCTGGAAACAAAACAGGGCATTGTGGCTTGGGCGGTATACAAATGATGTAAAATAAGCAAATAAATACAATTTTCATATGCAGTAAAAACTTGAGGTATGAGAATTTCCACATGTTCTTTTAAAATTTGAGATTCCAAGATGTTCGTAAGATTTATTTTGTTTGAAGTTTGAATGCTAACACAATAGACCACTTTTGGCGAAAGAAAGGAAGGAAGGAAGGAAGGAAGGAAGGAACTCACCATATTGTCAGATACATTAGTCTAGGATTGGGGAACCTATGATCCTCCAGATGTTGATGGATTCCAAATCCTGTCAGCCCCAGCCAGCTTGATCGATGGTCAGGGAAAAGGAGAGTTGTATTTCAGCAACAGCTGGGGAGGTCACAGGTTCCCCATCCCTACTTTCTTCAATGGTTCTCTGACCTACCACCGAGTTTTGCCCATACAAGTTTTAGGCTACAGCCTTATACACACTTTTCTGGGAATAAGTCCCGTTGAACACCGTGGCTTCACTTCTGTGGAAAAACGAATAGGATCGTGCCATAACTTCTCCATCTTCATTAGCATGAAGTTGACCCGCAACAAGATTAAAGCAGCACCTTTCCAAGGAGTAGACTAAATATGTGCAAACTTGTTTCATGAATCATACATCCCAGGGCACTGGTAATAATAAAAAAGGTCTTTACTGAGCGCAGAAGGAAATACATTGAACGTGATTCATTGGGTTTATTGCCTTCTCCATATTCAATGAGGCAAAGCAGGTAAGGCAATTACTTTTATTGGACCAGCCCCTGATGGCGAGAGTTCATAAACTTCCAAAGTTCACAGTTCTGTTCTTCTGGCATGGACAGAGTAGTATGCTATTGAGGCAGTAAAATTAATGGCAATGTGGAGAGCATATCTACCCATGGGACAGACGGGATATTTATTCTGCATATTGGCCCTTCAGGAAGTACTAGCTGCCTTTGGGATCCAGGAGAAAGAAAGAGAAGCATGGATGTTACTAAGCAAACGCAGTCCTGGTTTTCCCTGAGTGAGGAAGCCTGACCTGGGAAAATAGCTGAGCTGGGGACAGAGGCGTCAGGTTGCCCCCAAGATTGAGGGGGGGAGGTCTGTCGCACGCTGCATGCGTGTGATGTCGTGTGGACAACGTCGCATTGTCTGCGGAGGCCAATAATAATAATAATTTATTATTTATACCCCATCCATCTGGCTGGGTTTCCCCAGCCACTCTGGGCAGCTTCCAACAAAATATTAAAATACTGTAGTCCAAACATTAAAAGCTCCCCTACTCAGGGCTGTCTTCAGATGTCTTCTAAAAGTCTAGTAGTTATTGTTCTCTTTGACATCTGGTGGGAGGGCGTTCCACAGGGCGGGTGCCACTACCGAGAAGGCCCTCTGCCTGGTTCACTGTAACTTGGCTTCTCGCAGTGAGGGAACCGCCAGAAGGCCCAGCACTGGACCTCAGTGTCCAGGCAGAATGATGGGGGTGGAGACACTCCTTCAGGTATACTGGACTGAGGCCGTTTAGAGCTTTAAAGGTCAGCACCAACACTTTGAATTGTGCTCGGAAACGGTCTGGGAGCCAATGTAGGTCTTTCAAGACCAGTGTTATGTGGTCCCAGCGGCCACTCCTAGTCACCAGTCTAGCTGCCGCATTCTGGATTGGTTGTAGTTTCCGGGTCACCTTCAAAGGTAGCCCCACATAGAGCACATTGAGATAACCAAGGAGCTGACCACTGAAACGGTGATGTGTGTGATGCGCATTGCGCATGACATGCACGCACAACACTCCCCAGGCCCCCTCAACATTGAGTCACGGTGGGTAAAGTCATGGTGGGTAAAGTAATCTAGTAAACTTTAATCTCAACTGGATTTTAGAAGAACAAATCACAGAAATTCGATTTCCCCCTAAATTTGCAGAAGCCCAGAGTCATGTTGCCCATTGTGAATAAATAACTCCAGCTACAGATTGTTTGACATTCTGATGGCAACATGCTCAACTGACTTAAATATCTTATATCACAACTAGGCATAGAAATAATCTGCAGTGGTATATCTTTTCCACTAGGGAGCAGTTATGCACTAGCTACAACAATGCTTGCAAATTGGAAAGCTTCCAAAATCTGAAAGGCCACCAGTATTGTTCAAAGTGGCAACATATGTAGGTTTCCTGTTTGTTATCTCTGAACTGGTTTGACCTGAGATATTATTACTACCACTACTGTAGGTTATTTACATGTGAAAGAGGATAGCTACAAAATCAGCTGTTTTCAGGACACTTAACCTTGCTTCCTAAAATTTCAGACATAGGCAATCTAGAGATATGAGGAAAACCTATTACATTAGTAAACATAATTTCTTTCTCAGGTGCCAGATCTGATAAAGATAAATTTTAATTAAGATTAATAAGATCTTGTCAGCTTGTACACTGTATATCTATTAATTATATTTATTGAATTTATATACCGCCCTATACCCAGAGGTCTCAGGGCGGTTCACAGAACAAAATCAAAATTTAAAACCGCGAAATATATAATCAAAATAAAAACAAGAACCCAATAACGCCCCCCAAAAAACACATTTAAAAAGGGCATATCTACGATTCATTGAACAATCGTGTATCTACGATTCATTGAACAATACGGCCGATGCTTTCGATGGTTTATTTTTAAACGCACGCATAATAATGCTAGTATTGCAGGTATTTATGTGGCATATGCAATGGTTGATTCCCCTTGGCACTACATAGCTTTAAATTCAAATTGGATGTGCAGCTAGCTTGGGATGTGACTGTGCTAAGACTATGAAGAGAATTATTAGTTAATGATAATTAAGAGTAATAGAGAAATTAAGAAATGCAGAATAAGTGATAAAGAATGGAAAATCATCAGAGGTTGTTGACGGAAGTCCAAAACATTGTATAAGATAAGAATTAATGTTAAATGATTGTTGGAAATGATATGTTAAAAAAACCCCAAATATATATACAGTGGTACCTCGGGTTACATACGCTTCAGGTTACATACGCTTCAGGTTACAGACTCCGCTAACCCAGAAATAGTGCTGAGAACAGAAATCGTGCTCCAGCAGCGCGGCAGCAGCAGGAAGGCCCCATTAACTAAAGTGGTGCTTCAGGTTAAGAACAGTTTCAGGTTAAGTACGGACCTCCGGAACGAATTAAGTACTTAACCCGAGGTACCACTGTATGTACACACACACACACACACACACACACACACACAGTGTCTCTGTCTTATCAGGATTGAGCTTCAGTTTGGTGGCTCTCATCCAGTCCGAGCACTGGTCCAGCACTTCCACTGCCTCACCTGCAGATGTAAAGGAGAAATCGAGCTGAGTGTCACCAGCATGGTGCTGACAACGTACTCCAAACCTCCCAATAACCCCACCAGCAGTTTCATGTAGACGTCAAACAACATGGGGGATAGGACTGAGCCCTGCGGAACCCCACATTGAAGGTTCCACGGAGAATTGACAGAGATCCCTGCAACATAGAACCACTTTTGCCCCGATTTCAGATGTTGCTTTGTGATGCGAGTTCTGCACTCACCAAGTCCCTCACTTGAACAGGTGCTGTTTTCCTCCTTAGGGCTCACTCAGAGGCAGTTGCTATTCCTCCCAGGTGAACAGGTAATTGGCAGACCGTAATACATGAAACTCGTAATCCGTCTGAGCAATAAAATATTATTGAAAAATAATGAGAAATTTAAAGGGGTCAGAGTAATGAAACCCTGACCAAAAAAACCCACACCCCATTAATGTGAAGATTGACTTAAAGGAGAGCACCTGTTCCTTTTACAGTCTCCTGGAGAAATATTCAGGTTGCAACATCTTCCAGTCCTGCTTTACCACGTGACGGTGGTGGGGGCAGACTGCAGCCATCAAATCTCACTGTCAACCAAATGTTAAAGGTAAAAGAGTATTCTTAAAAGCAAAGGATTTAGCATCAATATTGGCTTTTGGGATTAACTAAATCCCAAAAGTGTGCAGAATCTCTGGCTGTGCCATTGCTGCTCTTGCTTTTGTTGGAAGGAAGACAGGAATGAGAACAGCTTGAGGTGGCCCAACCATCTTTCTCTGGGAAGGAGAAGATGCACAGCTCACCTGGCTATCTTCCAGTATAAACCCTGCTTACATTTCACATTCTTCAGTGTCCTATCCTTTTTTTAAACAGGGAGGCTGAGATCAGGGTAAATCATGGGAAGAGAATGACGACGTTTAGCCTGGAGAAGAGGAGGTTAAGGGGTGATATGATAGCCATGTTCAAATATATAAAAGGATGTCACATAGAGGAGGGAGAAAGGTTGTTTTCTGCTGCTCCAGAGAAGCAGACACGGAGCAATGGATCCAAACTACAAGAAAGAAGATTCCACCTAAACATTAGGAAGAACTTCCTGACAGTAAGAGCTGTTCGACAGTGGAATTTGCTGCCAAGGAGTGTGGTGGAGTCTCCTTCTTTGGAGGTCTTTAAGCAGAGGCTTGACAACCATATGTCAGGAGTGCTCTGATGGTGTTTCCTGCTTGGCAGGGGGTTGGACTCGATGGCCCTTGTGGTCTCTTCCAACTCTATGATTCTATGACGTTTCTGCACAACAAGAAACAAAAGAAGAAAGTTGCGCTCAGACACATCAGTCATATCAAACAGAGGTATGAGGGCCAGACCTGACCTTTTGGACTCAAGGAGAGGAAGTATTGGAGAGATAAGGACAGGAGACTGTGATGTGCTGTCTCTCAAAATTTACAGTCTCACATTTTTGTGGCTTGTTGAGCTGCTGTTTTCTTTTGTTAAAAGCAGCTGTGAAAGGGGAGGCTTCGGATGAAGGCTGCAGTGCCTGGAGAAATATATCCACAATATGGATATCCCCTCCGTCACATCTAGTTTCACCATTAAGCAGGAACGTATTGTGGCTACAATCCTTGCACAAATTAGAAAACACTTTCATTTTAAATTTGTTTGCTTGGTTTTCAAATCAAAGTTTTACAATCACATATCCAATATAAAACATAAAAAACAAGATTCCAAGGAATCTTCTGGACTTCCCTCCTTCCCTTTGTGGGTCCTATTGTTAACCATTTCCTCTTGCATCTTTTATAATAATCCAAATCTTTTACATCTCCATTACGTCCACCATTAAACTACAAGTGTTATTCCAGTCCTGCTAACAGTTTTAACTGTTTGCAATGGTTTTTAAGATAAATTATAAATTATAAATTTTCCCATTCCTTATTGAAATTTTGGCCTTCCTGATTGCTGATTGTTCCAGTCATTTTTTGTCAAAATTAGAAAACACATTCAGACACCCAGGGCTGGTGCTGGACTTCACAGAGCCTGTGGTTTGGTGCTGCTGATGTCCCCCCCCCCCCAACACCAGGCTCTGCTCTTCTTGTGGCAACCTTGTGTTGAATGGTTTAATATGTAAAGGTTCATCATTGTTCCACCCGATGTGTATGTCTTTAAGGGGCCAAAGCAAGGGCCAGAGCAAGATAACGAGACCCAGCGTTACAGCTGTGAAACATAGCAGGTGCTGCTGAGTTGTATTGATTAAGCTGTGTTGGCAATTGGGTGTAGTATATAAGGAGCAGCACCTAGCTCTCCCATTACCCTGGGGGATGGGTTGGTGGTTGGGTCATGTTTGTTTGTTAATGTATTTAGTGTAAAAGGAGTTTTTGTTTTTCTTATTAAAACCTTGTTTAAGTTATTTTTGAGTCCCTTTTAATGCATGGTCTCCCCAGCAAGCTCTCTGCAGCGCTACCATACTGCAAAAAGTCAACATCTTTGGTTATGGGCCCAGCTGCTGAGTGGATGACTGCATATTTTTGGACTCTGAGAAAGGTTTGAAAACTCCTTCTCCTGTTAGCGTAGTTCTGTGGGTCTGGAAGAGTTCCAGAATGGTTGACCGGGTTCCTGAAGCTGAGAAGGCTCTGGTCTTCCCACAGCTGACAGATGAGAACTATAGTTTATGGTCTTTTCGGGTGGAGGCGCTTTTGACCTCTAGAGAAGTATGGACCTATGTAACTGATGACCCTCCTGACCCTGTGACTAATGCTTGGTCGAAAGGAGATGCGAAAGCCAGGGCGATAATTAATTTGGCAGTCAGCGACCAGCAAGTAGTCTATATAAGAAATAAGAAAACTGCCAAAGAAATGTGGGACAGTCTTGCAGCAGTGCATGTTAGAAAAGAGTCAGCGTCTGCATTGACGTTTTCAAGCAGTTGTACCAGACGAAGTTGCAGCCTGGTGGTGATTTGGCAGCACACTTGAGACGTCTGGAGGCAATACGCGGTGAATTAATTCGAAGGGACATGGAGATACCTGATATTCAGTATGTTTTCATCATCCTTTGTTCCCTTAATGAGGACTTTGATGGTATAGCTAGCCAGATATCTGCCGCTCCACCAGCACAATTAACTGTGGAAGGGGTAACGGCAAGATTAATGGGCGAGTTGGACAGAAGGGAGGCTTGTGCCATAAGCACTCCTATTTCCAGAAAGAATGAGGAACGCCATATGCAAACTTGTGGTGATACAACTGCATTTAAAGCTGCAAAGCGTTGTTGGTTCTGCAATAAGCAAGGACATTTTGCAAAGGACTGCAGATCCAAAAGAAAGCAAAGTACTCCCAAGTCTGTTTCTGTTCGTCAGTCACGGTCGTCAGCTCAGCAGCCGGCATCGTACCGTAAAGACAGAAACGAGCCGCGAGCTTTTCACGCTAGCACAAGAGATCGTAAAAGAATTAAAGGTGCCAAGTGGAATTCTTTTATTGTGGACTCAGGAGCATCTCAGCACGTTTGCAACGATCGAAGCTTGTTTATTTCTTTCGAAGAGGAAATTGGTAATGTACATTTAGCCAATTCACAAGTCTTGCAGTCGCTTGGCAGGGGTACTGTTAAACTTGACTCTTTAAACATTACTATAGCGAACTGCATTTACTGCCCATCAGTGGACAATTTATTGTCAGTAAGGTGTTTTGCTCGTCAAGGCATAACTGTGCGTTTCTTAAAGTCAATGTGTGAGTTTTTCGAGGGGAACAAACGTCTATTGTATGCCCGGGAATCTGATGGTTTATATAGACTGTATTTTCGCACCTACTCCCAATCGCCTATAAATTGCAGAGCAGCACAGTCAAGCCAGGGGTTGAGGAATGTAAGGCCACATTCTGGGTGTGTCCATGAGGCGCACAGAATTCTGGGACATCTGAATTTTGCTGATGTAATTAAGACCAAGAATATTGTTAATGGCCTCAACTTAAAACCATGTAAATTCTTTATGCAATGTCTATCCTGTTGCAAGAATAAGATTAAGGTTGCACGCAAGGGTAGGTGCTCAGATAGGAAAGTAACTGAGCCATTTGAGCGTGTACATTGTGATTTAGTTGGGCCACTCCCACCATCCTTAGGAGGTTCTAAGTACTGGCTTACCCTGATAGACCAGTATAGTAGATATTGTTGGACTTATGCAATAGCTGAGAAGTCCCAAGCATTTGAGAAGTACAAAGTTTTTTGCAACTGGGTAAAAACACATTTTAACAAACCTATTAAGAACCTTTTTTCTGACAGGGGCGGGAATTTGTTTCTGAGGATTTTGAGAAATTCCTGGAAGCGCAGGGGACTACTCATGAGTTATCTTGCCCCGAAGTCCCTGGCAAAATGGGCTTGTTGAAGTTGTGCAGCGTGACCTGCAGGCAGGGGTTAAAACTTATCTGCATGATGCTAATCTGCCCAAAGACTTTTGGGCTGAAGCGCTCAATGCCTTTTGTTATGTTAGAAATCGCAGTTATCATTCTGGTTTAGATGTCACCCCTATGAGAAGCTGTTTAAAAACGCCCTAATCTGAAATACCTACGCATTTGGGGTTCAGATGTAATAATGCATTATCCCGCTAAGCAGAAATTGGGTGAACGTAGTGTCCAGGGAAAATTAATGGGCTACCAGCAGGGGGCGTACAGAATTTACATACCAGCAACTGGCAAATTTCATATTACCAGAAGCATGATACAAACTGTAAATTGGAATGGTGTTGCTGTTTTCCAAGATAGTAATGGTATAGATAATACTGAGGAAGAAGAGGTAGAAGAAGCAGCAGCAGCAGGAAATGGTGCTTCTGAATTAATGGAAGAAGACAAAAAGCCTGTTGAATCTGATAATTTCTTTGATGATTTAAAGTCACAGGCACCCGAGGGAGGTTAGATTCTCTTGAGTTTTCTGACCGTGAGCTTAGCCAACAGGCATCTCTTCAGTCTGACAATGATGATTTACAACCTGAAACTAGTAGTTTACATAGTCCCATTAAGTCTGAGGAGTCTGACTCTCCTTCCGGACTGAGACGTTCAGATAGAAAGAGACAGAAGCCACAACGTTTTGCAGATGAACATTTTAATACTGTGTATGCCAATAAGGCAGTTTTTGAGCCAAAAGCTACAATGATGTTCAGAATTTACCTAAGCACCAAGCTGTAAATTGGTATAAAGCTATGAACTCTGAAATAGCTTCTTTAAAAGAGCATAACACTTGGTCTCTTGTACCACAAACCCCAGATATGAGACTTATTGATTCAAAATGGGTTTATAGAGTTAAAATGAATGACAAAAATGAAGTTGTAAGGTACAAGGCAAGATTAGTTGCTAGGGGTTTTCAACAAATTCCAGGCGAAGATTATGATTTGTGTTATTCACCAAGTGTAAAATATGAAACAGTTAAGCTTTTGTTAAAAGATGCATCACAACGTGGACATTCTGTTTATCACCTAGATATAAAAACTGCATATTTGTTTGCAGATTTAAAAGAACAAATTTTTATGCGTGTCCCTGAAGGCATAGACGCCGCTGAAGGTTTGGTATGCAAATTAAATAAATCCCTTTATGGTCTGCACCAAAGTGGAAGGAATTGGCATCAAACTTTAGCAAAAGAATTGCTGGATATTGGTTTTTCACAGGGAAAGGCAGACAATTGTGTGTTTATAAAGGAAAGGGCAAACTCTGTAGCAAAAATATGTGTCTATGTAGATGACGTGTTAATTTCTACAAAAACTAAACAGGAATATGAACAGGTAGTAACACAGTTACAGAAGAAATTTGATGTGGTGGAATTAGGCATAGCTAAAAATTACTTATCCATGCAAATTGAGAAAGGCAAAAATGGATCTTTTCTGGTTCATCAAACTGCAAAAATTGACGATCTTGTTGAAATGCTATGTTTAGAAAATGCAAATGGGAAGGAAACGCCCATGGTGTGTGGTTTCACTTTTACAGGTGAAGATAAGCCATTTCCTAACAAAACTTTGTATCGTTCTGCTATAGGCAAGCTAAATTTCATTCAAAGAATCTCAAGACCAGATCTAACTTATGCCTTTCACCTTCTGGCAAAATTTGTGGAAAAGCCCACTACACAATGTTTCTCTGCTCTTAAGAGAGTGGTAATGTACCTTAAACATACCAAACATTATAGGTTGCAGTTTACAACATGTACAGTGGTACCCCGCAAGACGAAGCGCCTCCAAAACGGAAAACCCGCTAGACGAAAGGGTTTTCCGTTTTGGAGGCGTCGCAGAAACGAATTTCCTATGGGCTTGCTTCGCAAGACGACAGCCCATAGGGAAATCTCAGGGACAGCGGGGAAGCGCAGCGCGTCTTCCCCACTGTCCTCGGACCTCCTCCGAAGCCTGGCGGCGGGGCGGGGACACCTCCTCCCGCCGCCGCCGGGCTTCGGAAGGCTCCTCCGAGCCGGGCGGGGGAGGGAACACCTGCCGCCGCCGCCCGGCTTCGGAACGGTGCCCGGGCCGGGCGGGGGAGGGAACACCTGCCGCCGCCGCCCGGCCTCGGAACGGTGCCCGGGCCGGGCGGGGGAGGGAACACCTCCGCCGCCGCCCGGCTTCGGAACGGTGCTCCGGCCGGGCGGGGGAGGGAAGACCTCCGCCGCCGCCCGGCTTCGGAACGGTGCTCCGAGCCGGGCGGGGGAGGGAAGACCTTCTGAAGGCGGGCGGGGGCGAAAGTCTTTGCTCCCCTGCCTGCCTGTCCCGGAGGGCTTTTGAAGGCGGGGGAGCAAGACTTCGCCCCGCCCGCCTTCAGAAGAGGTCCAGGACCTCTTCTGAAGGCTGGCGGGGGCAAAAGTCTTTGTCCCCCTGCCTGCCTTCCCAGGGGCTTTAAATTGCCCCGGACAGCGGAGAAGTCCTCCGCTGTCCCGGGTGATTTTAAAATGCCGCCCGCCAGCATTTTAAGCTCGCCCGGACAGCGGAGAAGTCCTCCGCTGTCCCGGGTTTTTACAATGCTGGGGGTGGGAAGAAAAGCCCTTGCCCCCCCCAGCCTTCAGAAGAGGTCCGGGGACAGACTGTCCCCGGACCTGGTCTGAAGGCGGTTTCCCTAGGAACGCATTAATTGATTTTCAATGCATTCCTATGGGAAACCGTGCATCGCAAGACGAAAAACTCGCAAGACGAAGAGACTTGCGGAACGAATTAATTTCGTCTTGCGAGGCACCACTGTATTGACAAAGGTTTTGAAATTTTCTGTGATGCATCTCATGCAGTGGAACAAAATAATTGCAGGGGTGTGTCTGGTATGGTGTTTTGTTATAATGGTTGTCCATTTGAATGGAAGTCCCAGACACAAACCATTATTTGTCTCTCCACAACAGAGAGTGAATTATGTGCATGTGTTCAGGCCACTCGTGATGTGGAATGGTATCTGCAAGTATTCGCAGACCTACAGATGCAAGTAACACTACCAGTAAAAGTTTACCTTGATTCCCAGAGTGGACTCGCTATCCTATGTTCAGAAACCAATACGCAGCGCACTAAAGTCTTAAGATTACGTTTACAGTTTGTAAAGAAACTAATTGCTGATGAAATGGTTGTATTTAAATATGTTCCAGGTGACAATCAAATTGCAGACATTTTTACTAAAGCACTTCCAAAAGGTATACATGAAAAACATGTACAAAGTATGCTTTATGTTTTTGTTCCACAATGATGAACCGCAGGGGAAATGTTGAATGGTTTAATATGTAAAGGTTCATCATTGTTCCACCCGATGTGTATGTCTTTAAGGGGCCAAAGCAAGGGCCAGAGCAAGATAACGAGACCCAGCGTTACAGCTGTGAAACATAGCAGGTGCTGCCGAGTTCTACTGATTAAGCTGTGTTGGCAATTGGGTGTAGTATATAAGGAGCAGCACCTAGCTCTCCCATTACCCTGGGGGAGGGGTTGGTGGTTGGGTCATGTTTGTTTGTTAATGTATTTAGTGTAAAAGGAGTTTTTGTTTTTCTTATTAAAACCTTGTTTAAGTTATTTTTGAGTCCCTTTTTAATGCATGGTCTCCCCAGCAAGCTCTCTGCAGCGCTACCATACTGCAAAAAGTCAACACCTTGGCCATCACAAGCTTTCTCTGATGCCACATCCTTCAACCTCCACCAGCCTCCTAGACATGCTTCAGTGGTAGATGGGAGACAGAACTTTCAATGGGAGCTAAGTTCAGCTCTCATCTGTGGTAGCAAACAACATCTTAATTCACCCAAAATGCAATACCCTGGCCTATGAAATGTCTAGATGTAGCCCTACCTGGACTATAGCTCTATGGAATCAATGAATTTAATAGATCTAGGAATCAGGGCATTGAATTTTAGGTAATTTAAAATGGTGTTTGGTCCATGTTGATAGGACCACCTGAGCTTGGTTCCTGTTCTAAACTGGCACTACCACCTACCACTGAAAAGCATCTTGGGTCCAGGCAGGGAAGGCAGGAGTGCCTGGCGTGCTCTGGTCCATGGGGTCACGAAGAGTCAGACACGACTAAACAACAACAAGCTCAAATGCAATTATGTTTCACACTGTTTTCTTTTTGTGTACAGGAGAACCTTGAACCCAACTGTGGGCAGCCAGGACCAGAGTGTGGCTAGAATCAGCAAAATTCAAAGAGAGGGTAATAAGAAGCTGCCATTGCAATGGAGATATCTGCCAACACAGCCCAACTAAACAGATCAGGATGAGTGGAGGGTTGCAGAGCTCTGTTGGCACTGTTGGAGGAACAGCGACACTATACCCCGGCCTAAATACTTATCAGATGGAGCTCCTCATCAGGTAAGACAGCCTATGTCAGCCTTTTGAAGCCTTGACCAATCTTTAGGCCAAGGAGGACCATTCTGGAGGTGAGTCAGGAGCTGGGAAGACAGAGGAGAATCCTGGGTGAAATTTAAAGCACTCTTAGGATGAAGCCTGCAGGGTGGACAGACAAGGCACAGCCCTAACCCCCATGTGCGTAGGGACCAGAAGCAGATGTGGCATCATAATTTATCTGCAATTTTAAACATCTGCATTGATTGCTTCAGAGGACAAGTAGGCAAATAATCATGTAAAAGCAGCCTTTGAATCACCATCCTAAATATATTTTGACTGAGCAGTTAGTGTCACCGCAAAGCTAGAAAAATAACTGAAGGGTGATCAAAACCTCTGCAAGAAGAACAAAGTAATTCCAGATATTCCATGAGGAATTGATATAAGGAGAAGCCCTGATGCAACATTCCAGCATATATTAGTAAGCTTGGCCACTTGAATAAGCAGATGGTGCAAGATGCTCCAGAACGGGAATGGTTACCAGTACACAGAGCGGCACTTTGTTCTCCAGACCTTTGCCAGGGTGAGGCTCAATTTGAAAAGTTTTTGCTATCAAGCCTAAAGGGTTTGTGTGCTCACTCAGGTATAGAACAATATACAAACACACACATTTATATGTCACGTATACCATTCAAATGAGAGATAGAACACTAAAATTATTTATTTATTAATTAAATATCTACAGGCTGTGATCTAAACCATGAGCCTCTTGGGCTTGCCGATCAGAAGGTCAGTGGTTTGAATCCCCGCAACAGGGTGAGCTCCCATTGCTCAGTCCCAGCTCCTGCCAACCTAGCAGTTCAAAAGCATGCCAGTGGGTTTGAGCCCCACTTTTGGCAAAAGATTCCTGCATTGTCATGGTCCCTCCCAAACTCGATTCCCTGATTCTCTGATTCCATGAAACCAATATCCCTCCTCCCATGGGTTTCATCTATTCTTTCACACATCACATTCATGCACATGCAAACACCATTCTGCCTAAACCACATTTGAAACCTCCCATGTACTCACATAAACATATACCAACTGACATCCAAAAACATTATATCCATTCACGTTCCTGCCCTGGCTTCAATCCACAAATATCCACTGGCTTCTGTTGACTGTCTTCCAAAGGTGAACTTCCATCAGCCGACATCCACAAACATCCGTCTGCTTTAGCCTTGTAGCCCCCACCAACTTCCGAATCCAAAAGCCATTGGCTTCCATCCACCAACATCTGCCAGCTTCTCTTAGGTCCATCATGAGATGTCCGCCAGCTCCCAACCACAGATACCAGCAGCCCTCAAGCAAGCAAACTTGCCTTATTATCACTCCCTAGCATCCCACTGCCAGAGGATTGCCTCCTTCCATTCACCACTTTGCCTCCTCCAAGTGGAAGAAACCTGGGCAGCACTGAATGTCACATCCATTGCCAGGTGTGTCCTGCTGGAAATAGAAAAGGGCTTTCCCCTTGGCCTGCCTTTATATCCACTCAGTTGCCAAGTGCTTTTCTGACATCACAAGAAACCCACAGCCAATGACAACAGCTGGGGAGGCATCACCTTCATTGCTTTGAGCCTCACAATGGTGGGTGGACCTATCAGTGATTGTGTGCTTGTTTATTCAGGAAGCGGGTGGCGCTGTGGTTTAAACCACTAAGCCTCTTAGGCTTGCCAATCAGAAGGTCAGCAGTTCCAATCGCCATGATGGGGTGAGCTCCTGTTGCTCTGTCCCAGGGCAGTTTATAATATAAAAACACAAAAATACATACCATAAGGATAAAGGTATAAGGTAAAGGGACCCCTGGACGGTTAACTCCAGTCAAAGGCGACTATGGGATTGCGGCACTCATCTCATTTTCAGGCCGAGGGAGCCGGCGTTTGTCCACAGATAGCTTTCTGGGTCATGTGGCCAGCAGGACTAAACTGATTCTGGCGCAACGGGACACGGTGATGGAAGCCAGAGCACATGGAAACGCCGTTTACCTTCCTGCTGCAGCAGTACATATTAATCTACTCACGCTGGTATGCTTTCGAACTGCTAGGTTGGCAGGAGCTGGGATGAAACGACAGGAGCTCATCCCATCATGCGGATTCGAACTGCCAACCTTACAATTTAGACCACAGCCCCACCCATGTCCCCAAATAACAAATAAATTGCCATAAAAACAAAAACAAAACAAAAACACTCCCACCCCATACAGTTTAAAAGGCCATTGATTGGCCAACGAAACAAAGGCCTGGGAAAAGACCAATGTTTTTGCCTGGTGCCTAAAGTCATGTAATGAAGGTGCCAGGCAAACCTCCTGGGGGAGAGCATGCCACTAAGAAGGAGCCACCACAGAAAAGGCCCCTTTTCAACTGAGAAATGTTGGAGGGTATGCCTTAACAACAGTAACTGCATCCTAGCACTATGAACAACAGAACAGAGCCTTGTCCTGACATTTTAATGAATTGCAGATGCCAAAGAAAAGTTAATTCATTTAACTGCACCACATAGTACTGAGTAGTTTAAACTGTGTACGCACTATAACTTCATAGCACATTCAAAGCACATTTCCCCCTCTAGGAATTATGGGAGCTGTAGATTGTTAAGGATTTCTGGGAATTGTAACTATGTGGAAGGTAATGTGTTATGCTTAGAATTCTTTGAGGGAAATAATGTTCTTTGAATGTGTGGAATTTAGCATATCCTCCGAATGAGGATAAACTGAGTTTTGTAAGAAACGGCTAGTCTAATATTTTCCCTCAGTCTCCTTTTTAGCAGCCTTCAGGTGAACTTGATAATCTTTTAGGTATATTTTAGATACCAAAACATCTGCCTCAATCGAGGCATTAACAAATCCCAACAGTCATTAACTTTCAGTAGTGTGGGATTAGTTTTTTCCAAATGTCCAAGAGATTAGATTCTGTATTATATCCTCTGCCTTTTTCCTGTATAAGAAGTTACAAAAATGTCTTTCTGTGCTAGTATTAGAGTAACTGAGTGGGCCTCTATACTTCTTAGGCTAAGGTGAGCACTAGCCAAATAAATGTGTTTGGTTTGGCACATTTCGAGTCTGCATCGCTGCTAAAGGCTGAATCTGGATCTTGTCTCATTGCAGTTATTAGTGAGGTCATGTCCTGAGTTTTCAATTACAGCTTCATCAAATGGGTCGAAGTGTGCCCTGGCCTTGCACAAATCATCATCTGTTAGATAGAGTCCTACTAAATTGTCAATATACTTCTTGTCTTCCCTTCAGCAAACCTTATTTTTAAACCATTTTTTATCTTTCTGAAGTGTTGTCTTGTGAACCAAACACTATGAAGCTACCAGAAGAGAACAACACGCCCCCCTGTCTTGCCCTCAGTCTGCACCCATGAGTCAGACTCAGAGACTTCTTCTACGCAGTAGGATTGTTATCAAAGCTGCATATGTTTCTCACCACTAAAGGCATTTAAGCATCCACACGGATGTATCATTCACAAGTTTTTGTGCAGTTTTGGCTAAGATCCACATGAACAGTGAGATCAGAAAAGCAGTCAGTTCTCTGAATTGAAGTTTGGTCTGTGTCATAGACACTGAAGAAGCAAAGATCGCCAGTGTCAAAGCAATGATTCTTCAACATCAACTTTGTTGGTCTGGTCATGTTGTTCGGATGCCTGATTATCATCTTCCAAAGCAACTACAGTGGTACCTCGGGTTAAGTACTTAATTCGTTCCGGATATCCGTTTTTAACCTGAAACTGTTCTTAACCTGAAGCACCACTTTAGCTAATGGGGCCTCCTGCTGCCACCGTGCCGCCAGAGCACGATTTCTGTTCTCATCCTGAAGCAAAGTTCTTAACCTGAGGTACTATTTCTGGGTTAGCGGCGTCTGTAACCTGAAGCGTATGTAACCTGAAGTGTATGTAACCCGAGGTACCACTGTACTATATTCGAAACTCAAAAATGGAAAGCTGGAGGTCAACAAAAGAGGTTTAAAGAGTCTCGCAGGGCAAATCTAAAAAAATGTAGTATAAACACCGACAACTGGGAAACACTGGCCTGCGACCTCTCCAGTTGGAGAACAGCCTTTACCAAAGGTGTCGTGGGCTTTGATGATGTTCGAACTCAGGACGAAAGGAGAAACGTGCTAGGAGGAAGGCACGCTTGGCAAACCCTCACCGTGATCAACTCCCACCCGGAAATCTCTGTCCCCCCTGTGGAAGGGCGTGTGGATCCAGAATTAGCCTCCACAATCACTTACAGAATCACTGTTAAAACAGTGTTTATGGAAGACAATCTTACTCGGCTATGAGGGATCGCCAAAGAAGAAGATGTGAAACTGCTGTTTTGCGGCTTCTCCACGGCACTGTCATGACTTTATCACCACGCCAAAGAGTGACAGATCCTGTCACGAGCCTTGTTGAGACATCCAGGAGGGGCTGGTTGGATCAGGACATGGGGTGAGAGGAGCTCAAAGAGTTGGAGACCAATGATCCCACGGAGAGACCCTTCTCCAAGATAGGAGGACAAAAACAGCATGCAATGGATTGGTAACAATGGCGTCAGGAGTCTCTAAAAATGAAGTCAGCTGAAGATGCAGTGAGGAACCTAAGCTGTGGTGACAATTCTGTGCATGCTTACCTGAAAGAAAGGTTAGCTGAAGATTGCAGGACTTCTTTCTGAGTAAACATGAATGGGATTGGCTGTTAGAAATACAAAAAGGAAGAGAGATTTGAAAAATCCAAATACTGAGTGATGCCTTGCTTTGTTTTAAAATGGTGTCTGGGGACATACTGGTAACT